GTAGAAAACCCCTATTGGTTTTAGGGTCACAAGGTCAAAGGTCAATGTCACTATTACCTTAAAACTGAAAACAGTTTTCGGAACATAACTTAAGTTTCTTTTGGCCCACAGTGTTTAAACTTCATAGGATGATTCAATTCAATTCAATTCAATTCAATTCTTTATTCAGCATATGAACATTACATGTTCGATGACAGCGGTTACGATTGTCAATATTGGGTAGAAGGCCGCTAGTAATTGTTTGGATCACAAGGTCAAAGGTCAAGGTCACTATGACATTAAAACTGAAAACAGTTTCCGGTGCATAACTTCAGTTCCATTTGGCCCACAATATTCAAACTTCATGGGATTATTGTCCATATTAGGTAGAAGACCCCTATTGATTTTGGGGTCACACGGTCAAAGGTCAAGGTCACTATTACCTTAAAACTGAAAAACAGATTCCGGGGCATAACTTAAGTTCCATTTGAACCACAATATTCAAACTTCATAGGAGGATTGTTATTTGAAGGAGGTTATACTTTATTTAACATATGCTTCATCTTTACTAAAAAAATCACTTTCGGGCATATAATGCTCCGCCTAGCGGTGCTCTTGTTACATACATGTAGTAACCTTTTACTTCATAAAGACGGGTTTTGAAGGCTTTTCGACCCAAAATTACCCTATTTAGGCCCCCAACACTGTTTTTCGTTTTGGAAATGTGTCTAAAAAAAGTGAACACTTTTTCGGCGCCGCCCCCTATCAAATAGGTACTTCAGGGGGTTGCCAGAAGGATGATGTGCCCCCTTCTGTTTGGGGGATTTGAAGAGGGGCGGTAGTCCCCCTCATCGCCAAGAAAATTTTGGACTTGGGAGAGGCTAAAACTGACCCAAGGTCGATCGTAAGGTAATGTGTAACCAAGGTCCAAAAGCCTTTGACTCTATCTCAATCCATTGAGAAGTTACAGCACTTTGAAATCAATTTTGATGGAAAAAAATCAACGCAAAATAGTGATTTTTGGCAATTTTGAGATGTCCCCTCGTTGCCATGGTAACAGGAAATTAAAGACTGAGCGACAATGGTCCAGTTAATATTTGTGCCAAGATTGATTAGTATTGAAGCATTTTTCATAGTTTCACAGCAGTTTGGTCTTGTAACAGGAGACTTTTCAATGAAAACGGCCATTTTTCACAATATGCTCATGAGAAATGGATGAAATGAACATGTATGAAATTTGCTTCTTTTATTCTAGTTATGGAAAAGGGGAGATAAACTCTATATTTCACGAAATTTCATTCTATGAACAGAAACCAACCTGTTAAAATCTTTTGGGTTTTTTTCATAGTTGATACATTGTATCATAAGAACAAAAAAAAACGAACTTATGTATTTGAAGAATGAAATAGTGAGCTTTACGATTTCAGCGCAGTGTGGGCGCCGTGTGAGCGCCGTAAAAGTGCCGTGGAAGCGCAAAAACGCAGTAGAAGCGCTATCCGAACGCAGACAATCGCCAATTTAAACGTCGTTGAAACTCTGTAGCATCGCCATAATCGCTGTGAGGACGCCGTGAAGTCTCCAGGTCATTAAAAATATCACATTTTATTGCATTCTCGCGGCGGTTTGTAAAATTTAATAACGCCGTGCAAACGCTGTGAAAGCGCAGTCTCGTGTGACAGGGCCTTAAAACAGAATGATAAGGAACACTTGTCTATACAGGACATGTTATATTTATCCTTTGCGAGGCCTTAGTCGCAGGTTTAACTGTAAAGTCACTACAAATACAATTGTTTCAAATGAACCTAAATTAATTATATCAATTGTACACTACTAAAATCAATATAACTTTTTTAATCTGATTAAATATTGAAAAATATATATATTCATTGGGAATTTTCATGTAATGAAAGAGTATAATCCGAGGGTTAAGCGCAAGACTGTAGTAACTCTATATTTGAAAATATTACGGGAGAGGCAAAAAGACATTCTTTTTATAATGTTATTCTATCATTTCTATATATATAGTATTCTTAGAATATGTATAAAAATTGTAGAAGTAAGCAAATTAATTTACAAGAACATATTTATCTCTTTTAATTTTTAGATACTTGGACCATGTTGAGTTACCACTCAATTTATAACATTATAAAGAAGGGGAAGTTAACATTTGATTTCATAAGGTACATAGATATAATATATAGGATCTGATATGATATAAAATTTCATGTAAGGAGTACAAGATATTGTTTTAAAACAACATTTTTAACAAGTTTAATAAAAATTTATATGACTAAACATTTGAGGATCATTTTTATCACATTATTAAATGCATTGAAATTAATGAAGTAATTTGTTTTTCACTTACTTCTGTTGATATTATATCACATGTGTGTAATATATAAATAGAGGATATTCAAGATTTTTCTATAAATACAGAATTAACTTTCATCGAGTGGTATGTAAATAAATATTTCACGAGTGGTTGTAGCCACAAGTAAAAATATGGTAATTTTCATATTGTTTGTCTTATTTCAACCATTATTTATTAAGTTACTACAGTTTTGCAGTAATTATTGTAACATGTATCTTCTTTTTTTTGCAATACTGTAGTAAGTGAAGTTATAACAAGATGGAAATAAATCATGTGTTTATAGAAAAGAACTTGAATTTTCTGTTTATTTTATACTTTTTCTCTTTTTTACCTTAAAATTCTTAAGACTTCTCGTATTGGCTGAATTAAGAAGAAAGTAGTCTGGCAAGATACCTGTGAAAATATGGAAAATATGCTTCACTGCAGTGAAAAAAAAATCTACAGTACAGAAAAATGAAAATATGCATTTTATTTCATCAATATTTTTCAATATTTCATTCATAAGTATATAATAAAAAGAAATATGAAATTGTTATATTGCATTGAATACAAGCAGTATCATGTGATAAATCATAATCATTGATATAAATTAAATTATCAAATTTTCTTAAAAATACTACCTTTGTGCAGCAGTCACAATAACAGTATTATTCTATATATTTTGTTCTCATATCTAATGCAAGAGATCGTGTGATAAGTAACATATTTTTTTCTTTTTTAATAAGAAAAAAAATCTAGTAATAATGCTAAAAATCATCATGTAAGCAAGATCAAAAATGCTTTTGAAAAACTTGAAGTTTTAATACCTTGCAGATACAAGCATCTTTATTTGATATTTTAATTATCAAATAAGCATGTAAGTAACTAAATAAATAAATAATGTAACAAACAATTTTCTATACACAGCTAACCCATCAAATGGTTTTGGGGCAAACTAGCTTTTAAGTTCAAAAAATAATTTTGATTTCAAGTTTACAGTAAAATTTAAAAAGGGGGCTTTTAAGTTTTTTAGTGGAATTTTAAAATTAAAATTTATTTTCAACCAAATTTTAAGTTTTTTATTTTAACTGGCAACTGAATTAAAAAAAAAAGTAATCATGGGTTTCATTTTCCTGGAAAAAACTTACCCAACAAACGAATAAAACTCTTTAAAAAAAGAAAAATAAAATGGGTGTGGACTCTCGGTATTACACCATCGTCCATGTTGGGTTTCGTGGTGGCCCTAAAATAAGTCAAATCAGTAGGTTAAGTTTTGGCCGAACAAAGTCTCATTTAGAAAAATTCACCTCCCCAAAAGACCTTGCAAAATTAGTTTTTAAATGGTCTTTTGCAAAAATTGAAAGAAATTCCTGCCTTTTTAGGTTTTTAAAACAATTTTTTTTCAAGAAAATTAGGCATTTTGTAGCAATTAAAACTTAATGAATGTACATTTGATCCTATATTATACACCATTTGAAAGGTAAATCTTTTATCTATTGCTGCATGTTAAATTATAAGTAACTTTCCATGCCTTTCACTTAGAAACATACTCACTTAGCCATTTCTTTACGTCATATGAAAATTGTTATACAAAAATTAATAAGTTTTTCTCTTTAAAAATTTATATATCATTTATTTAAATGGGAACTGTAAATAGTTTTACCTGGAGCCATAGACAAATGCATAATTAAGCTTTCAAAAAATGTATTATTTTACTGATTTTGATATCTGGTTAATAAGTTTTACTTTGTTTAGCAAGCACGCGTGATATCTTAACTGGCTAGGAAGTTGCCTAGCTATCTAGATGTCTCTGCCTTCCTTAACCAATTACGCGATATATACGCCTTTTACCACTTTTTCGGCGCGGTCCCCAACCAAAAGGTACATCAGGGGATTATCAGAAGGGGGATGTGCCCCCTTCTGTTTGGGGGGTTTGAAGGGGGCGGAGTCCCCCTCATCGTCAAGAAAATTTTGGACTTGTGAGAGGCTAAAAATGACCCCAGATCGATCATTAGGTAACGTGTAGCCAACGCTGAAAAGCAATTGACGCTATCTCATTCCATTGAGAAGTTGCAGCACTTTGAAGTCAATTTTAATGGGAAAAAATCAAGGCAAAATAGTGATTTTTGGCAATTTTGAGATGTCCCCTCGTTGCCATGGTAACAGGATCTTTAAGCCTGTGCGTGTTGTTGCAAAGGCAATGGTCCAGTCAACACTAGTGCCAAGGTTGATGAGTATTGAAGCAGTTTTTTATAGTTTTATAGCAATTTGAACTTGTAACAGCCATTTTCCACAAAATGCTCATGATGTAATGGGTGTTAATATCTACAATTAATGATAGTCCATCCACCACATGTGTTCAAAAGCAGAATAATTTTACATGCTTGTATGTAAGGAAATGACTTTTTGGGTAATGAATTAAAAAGTTGATGATTGTCATTATTAAAAAGCGTCTACAATCATCATCATGATTGATAATAGTCATCATCACATAATCATCCTCAATTTGATCAAAAAGTTTAATCTCCGTATTTTGTGGCTTCAATTCACACTCATAATAGTGTGTTTGCAAAACGTAATTAATAATAAATTTTATTTCAGACGACAAATTTTATTTCAGACGACAACGAAATCTGTGAAAATCATCTGAACTATGTTTTATACCATACCCATAATTAAATGACGTCATTTTCCTGGCATGGCACAGGAAGTTGGAAAAGGTGAAATTCGGTGTATTTTGTGCTAATTTTAGGTGTTTGTCATTTCTTATGCGTTTTGCAAGCGAAATTAAATTATTTTACACCATACGTAAGTAGCTTCATCTAATTAGGTCGCTGACAAATGTGCAAAACTGCAACGAAGGTCAGCGTTCTGAACTAAACTTTGTTGTTCACTTGACAAAATCAAAACAATGAACAATGACTCATATTTCGCTATGGAGTTTCCAAAAAGCATACAACCAGTAAATGTATGTACCTCATGCTTTGCTTTTCAAGACATAACTTAAATCTCAGTGTTTCGAATCATTTATGTGATACCCTCTGTTCACAGTGCTAGATCTATTGTTTAACATCGTGACCTTGCAATTTTTTTTGTCCTTTATTAGTGTGTTCCAGTTTCAAGAATATGTTATTAAGTTTGTATTGTATACTGCATAAGTAAATGTAACTATTGCTTTTCCTACATATAGTTTTCTCAATTCAGACCAAACTAAATTTGTTGCATAATCATAATCTTAATCTTACAGGTTGGTTACAGTTTTACACAGCATATGGGGAAGATTTTGCATGGTGAAATTTGTGACAAAGTTAATTAATATTTTGTAGCTATCTTTGCATCAATAAGCTGTGGAAATATGAACTCGAACACGAAATATAATGACTCTTGATGTACGAGTGACATTCATTGGTGCGTTAAGAGTAATTTGTCGTTGTTTGATGCTTTGCATATAATGCCCTTGTTTGACCACAACTAGCCAATGCATCAGAAGCCTGGTCTGGCTCTCACTCAAATTGATCAAATAGAATCTGTCCAAAGAAGATCTGTGACCCTGCCTTTGTCACATCCAGTATTACCTGGTTGTTAGAGTCTCCTAAATGTTTCTGATGCGGTTTTCATTTTATTGACTGTAGCCTCTCCATGGTCACATGGTGTACAATTGATACATATGATATCCCAGTGCAATTAACAGTGTCTGTCCATACCCTGTATGATGGCGGTATGCAGAGTGACATAATAAAAAGTTCAGTTGGACGAATGTTGTAAGCAGAAGTTAATTTATTAATGTTAACTGAGTATAAGTCACCTTTAATTCTTTAAATGGTTTACAGTTTACCTACTGTGATTGGGTCTATTTTTGGCAGTAGGACGGTAGTGCAGACTATGTCACAATAGTGCATATTATCATCAATTAATTTTCGTATCAAATAGAAGTTTGCACCACCATTCAAATTCTTTTGTTAGTAAGGCTCCAACGGTTACATCCCCTTTTAAGGGAATTGTTTTGATTTTCATTCGTAATCGTTTACCATATTTTTTACCGTCAAACGTAATGACCACATTGTCTTAACATCATACTCTAATTATTTCCAGTAAAAAAGAGATGAGATAGAGTTTGCAATGCTATCAAAAAATTAAAAACAAAAAACATAGCTTACAGCTTTTTGAAGGGTGTGAAAACTCCACAGCATCCAGTTCAAATTTTGTTAAATGCGGAGAGAACGGTGCTTAGAGAAAGACAAGAGAACCACCACCATTGTAAAGTAAAATTGAACATAAAAAAGGCATGTGTCAGACCAAAAGTGTCGTCAGGCTTCTATATAAGAGTCACTCTGATTGGCCAATGATAGTGAGCAGCCCAGAAAAAGGGTTTATTTAACCTTGAATACTATCATAATAACAAATGTCATTTTCATGGTGATGTTGGATCTTTATACCAATGATACCAAATGTGTTAAGCACCATTGAAATTCAAGTCAATAATAATCCAATTTTGATCCTCTAAATCCAGTTGAAAATCCACTTTTTGCCCTTCTCAGTTATCAAATGTATGCAAAATCGTTAATGATATAGTCACCATTCCCATAGAAGGTTAGCTTACCCAGGGCATTTTTTTGTCAAAATTGTGAAGGGGCCTGGACCTGTTCATTTTGTGAAAAAAAGCTTGATTTGTCGTAAAATTGTGAAAAAAAAAATCCATATTATTTGGCATTTATATATCAATACAGTTTTTTCATAGAGGCTCCAATGGGGCAGTGGTAACGACCATTCCCAGTAGCAAAAAAAAAAAACATTAACTAATAAAAAAATGAAATCAATAAAATAAAATAAATATATAAATACAATGAAAAATATAGACAAAGATAATAAATGAAATAAAAAAGCCCTTTAATCTTAAATCAATCTTTGTAACAGTATACAATCCGCCTCTTATATTGGATATCTTTTGTATATTTTTTGCGGCAGAAAAACTGCCTTATGATAAATAACTGCAATGTAGCTAACGATTAATTTATTTATTTGTATCTATACAAAAAAGAAAACATTATGCCATTGCGATAAAACAGTTATAGTATATGAAACTCGTTAGTTACGGGGGTATAACACTGGCTGGGGCGACATCTCGGGATGTTTCTGCAAAAAAAAATGTCTCGGCCTAACGGCCTCGCCATTTTTTAGCAGAAACACCCCTTGATGTCGCCCCAGCCAGTGTTATACCCTCGTAACTAACTCGTTTCATATACTATAACTATTACATAAAGAACCCTTTATATTTCATACTGTTCATTTCACTTAAAATTTAACTTTATAAGAACTGTGCATTCTCACCAGGTTTTTGACAGAAAAGGATTCTGGAAGATAGATATAGATTCATGCCAATTTGAAATGTATAGTGAATTTATCAAAAAGAAATTTGCTCTTCACAACATATATAAGCATATCCATAGAACAAGCATTGTATTGTACAACACATGACATGAAATTGGAACTCATCTGTCATGTATCAAGGTCTTTATACTCTGAAAGTATATGTCCAAATATAATTAGATACAAGTTTGTACTGTCTTTGGTTCTGATGAGCTAAAAATGACGGTTTAAAGATAATACACTATACTTTCATGAACCTGATTTTCTTAAATTGTATAGCATTTCTAACACTGGTAGCAAATTAGATTAATATTCATAGTCCATTGAGAAATATCTGGTACATTTAACATAACTAGAAGAAAGAATCTGTTGGAATGGTCGTACCTTTAACGATTTATCTACAAAACACACATTTTGACTGGAAGATGTTAAGATGTAATGTTTACAGTAAAGAAAAATAATCTTGTTTAGAAATATCAATATTTACATAGCCAAATTTCTATGCTTGCAGTAACTATCTCAATGCCTCACAGAAGATTGGATGATGGATAACGATGCAGAGGAGGAGGCTCCACCTCAACTTCCGGGTCAAAATTCATGGCATCAAGGGCATGGTGCGAGCCAAAGAGCACGCGCCAATGAGATTAAAGTCAACACCATAATAGCTGAAGTCTCAGAACTGATTAAACAAGTAGGTTTCTTTTTAATAGTTGCATACCTCCAAATTTGTGTTAATTATACCCCTGAAATTTAGTGACCTTCGCAAAACTGTAAGGAATAAATTACATACTTCCTACTACAATTACATTAGTAATCTTCTAGATCCAGAAAATGATAAATCTTCGAAATCCTTTTGGAAATATATAAAGTCTCGTAAACAAGACAGCGTGAACATTGGAACATTGAAAAACAACGGTCAAATCGCCGAATCCGCTAGTCATAAGGCAGAAATGCTTAACAACCAATTTTGTTCAGTATTTACGAAAGAATCTTTGGACAATCTACCTAATAAAGGATCTTCGCCATACCGCTCGATGCCCAAGATAAACGTTACATTAAATGGTGTTGTTAAGTGTATTAACAGACTTAATCCCAAGAAAGCTTCTGGGCCAGATAAAATACCTATCATAGTCTTGAAAGAATGTGTAACTGAAATAGCACCAATTATACGGTCTTTATTCCAACAGTCAATTGATAAATCTGAAGTACCATTGGACTGGAAAAACGCTAACATTGTACCAATTTTCAAAAAAGGCGACAGAACCAAACCATCAAACTACCGCCCTGTAAGCTTAACCGCAGTTGTTTCTAAAATGATTGAACATATAATAGTCTCACAAGTAATGAACCATTTAGACAGCCAGAACATTCTTCATGAAAACCAACATGGGTTCAGGGCTAAACGCTCGTGTGAATCTCAACTTCTATTAACTACAGATGACATTGCTCGTAGTGTTAATCTTGGTCACCAGGTTGATATGGCGGTGCTTGACTTTTCTAAGGCTTTCGATAAAGTGTCACATCAGCGTCTCTCTGTGAAAATGCAATATTATGGTATATGTAATGAAACCAACTTATGGATTAATGAATTCCTTAACGGTCGTTATCAACGAGTAGTAGTAGACGGAGAATCATCAAGACCGTCACTGGTAACATCTGGCGTGCCCCAGGGAACCGTGCTTGGTCCTGCATTGTTTTTACTATATATTAACGACATCGCCTTGGATATTAAGTCATCAATTCGCCTATTTGCTGACGATTGTGTCATTTATAGACCCATACTCACCAGTGAAGATCATAATATTTTACAAAAAGACCTGGAAACCTTAGTTGATTGGAGTAATATCTGGCAAATGGAATTTAACGTCGATAAATGTGCAACCATGTCAATAACAAATAAACGTAACAAATCTGTATTTGACTACAAAATGAAAAATCAATCACTACATATTGTTAAAAACCATCCATATCTGGGAGTTGAACTAGCAGATACTATGAAATACAACCTACACATCGATTCAATCACAGCAAAAGCTTCTAGTACTCTTGGTTTCATCAAACGGAACTTAAAACATTGCCCGACCACAGTAAAGGAAAGAGCTTATCAAACTTTGGTTCGACCTAAACTGGAATATGCGTCACCAATTTGGAATCCCCAACAACTTAATACATCAAAGAAACTTGAACAAATACAACGGAACGCGGCAAGATTCGTCATGAATAAACCATTCAATCGTAACAATCCATCTAGCGTAACATCAATGCTACACGACCTAAAATGGCCAACACTTGAACAACGTCGTCAGTGTGCGGACTTAATTCTTATGTATAAAGTGTTTAATAACCTGGTGGCTGTACCAGTTGAATACCACCCACAACTATCTACAAGATACACAAACTCGGTAAAGTTCGTCACTTATCACTGCAGACTTAATGCGTACAAACATTCATTCTTTCCAAGAACTGTACCTTATTGGAACAACTTACCAACTAACATCACAACTGTGGACAATCTGGACAGTTTTAAAACCGCTGTCCAGTCATACGTATATGTGTAAATTATTAAAATCGTGTATAGTGTACAAACATGTTGGATTTTACTTCACACTACGTTTTCACATTATTTTAACTCGAACGCCTGGTGCCGCACATGGGGGACAGGTTTTTAGCCCACGTTTTAATGGAGCACATTTCACATCACCACTCGTCGCTGATGTCTGCACAGCGGATTTACAGACGAGATCAACATAGAAGTAGAAGTAGAAGAAACGAAATTTGGGGTCACCTGCTCGTAGATCAGTCAGTCTCAAAAGCATAACTTGAAGACTAATAGATGGCATTCAATACAACTTCATACAATGGTCAAGCAAATTGAGAGGAAGTGCAGTGGACAAGAACCATAACTCCATCTTCACTTATTACAGAGTTATTGCCCTTTGTTACTTTTCCTTGTCCGGAGCATAACTTGAAAACTACTGGTTGGAATTCACTTTTCCTTGTCCGGAGCATAACTTGAAAACTACTGGTTGGAATTCAAAACAACTACATACAATGGTCAAGCACAATTAGAGGAGGTGCAGTGCACAAAAACCATAACTCTATCTAAAGTAATTGTATAGTCATTGTCCTTTGTTAATTTTCCATTGCTTTCTTTTGTCCAGACCATAACTTGAAGACTAATGGTTGGAATTCAGTGTAACTTCATACAATGGTCAAGCACATTGAGAGGAAGTGCAGTGCACAAGAACCATAACTCTATCTTGACTAATTACAGAGTTATTGCCCTTGGTTTACTTTTCCTTGTCTGGAGGATAACTTGAAAACAACAAGTAGGAATTCACAATAAAAGGAAGTCCAGTGCATAAGAACCATAACTCTATCTAAAGCAATTACAGAGTTATTGCCCTTTGTTACTTTTCCATTGCTTTTTTTCCAGAGCATAACTTGAAGACTAATGGTTGGAATTCAATACAACTTCATACTATGATCAAACACATTGAGAGGAAATGTAATGCACAAGAACCATAACTCCATTTTGACAATTACAGAGTTATTGCCCTTTGATTCTTTTCCTTGTCCAGAGCATAACTTGAAAAGTACTGTTTGGAATTCAAAACAACTTCATACAATGGTGAAGCACAATAAGAGAAAGTGCAGTGCACAAGAACCATAACTATGTTACCAGAGTAATTATAGAGTTATTGCCCTTTGTTACTTTTCCAGAGCATAACTTGAAAAGTACTTGTTGGAATTCAATACAGTTACATACAATGGTCAAGTACCGGTATATTAAGAGGAAGCGTGTGACTCATTTAAGAGTTTTTGCCCTTTGTTACTTTTTATTGTCCAGTGCATAAATTTAAAATTAATGGTTGGAATTTGATGAAACTTCATACAATGGTCAAGGGCAGTGAGATAAAGTGCAGTGCACAAGAACCATAGCTCTATTTGGACTAATTACAGTTATTCCCTTTATTTCCAGTGCATAACTTGAAAACTAGTAGTTAGAATTCAATACATTTCCATACAATGGTCAAGCACAATAAAAGGAAGTGCAGTGTACAATAACATTCTAAACATGCATTTGTGTTTTCCTTTAATTTAGCTCATCTGTCACAAAGTGACAGGGTGAGCTTTTGTGATCGCTGTCCGTCCGTCCGTAAACTTTTACTTTAAATGACATCTCTTCATAAACCACTAAGCCAATTTCATCCAAACTTCACAGGAATGTTCCTTTGGTGGTCACCTTTAAAAATTATTCAAAGAATTTAATTCCATGCAGAACTCTGGTTGCCATGGCAACCGAAAGAAAAAACTTTAAATATCTTCTTTTAAAAAACCCTAAGAGCTAGAGCTTAGATATTTGGCATGAAACATCTTCTAGTGAGTGTCTACCAAGTTTGTTCAAATAAAAGCCCTGGGGTCAAAATTGGCCCTGCCCCAGGGGGGTCATTGATTTTCCCTATATGCATATAGTAAAAACTTAAAAAATCTTCTTTTAAAGAACCAAGAGAGCTAGAGCTAAGATATTTAGCATGAAACATCTTCTAATGAGTGTCTACCAAGTTTGTTCAAATAAAAGCCCCGGGGTCAAAATTGGCCCCGCCCCAGGGGTCATTGATTTTCCTTATATGTGTATAGCAAAAAATTAAAAAATCTTCTTTGAAAAAACCCAAATAGCTAGAGTTTAGATATTAAGCATGAAACATCTTCTAGTGTGTGTCTACAAAGTTTGTTCAAATAAAAGCCTTGGGGTCAAAATTGGCCCCGTCCCGGGAGTCATTGATTTTCCTTATATGTGTATAGCAAAAACTTAAAAATCTTCTTTGAAAAAACCCAAATAGCTAGAGTTTAGATATTAAGCATGAAACATTTTCTAGTAAGTGTCTACAAAGTTTTTGCAAATAAAAGCCCGGGGGTCAAAACTGGCCCCACCCCAGGGGTGTCATTGTTTTTAACTACATGTATATGTGTATAGTAAAAACTTAAAAAATCTTCTTTTAAAAAACCCAATGAGCTAGAGCTTAGATGTTAAGCATGATACTTCTTCTTATGGGTGTCTACCAAGTTTGTTAAAATAAAAGAAACCCTTTTGGTTTAAAAATTTGGCCCGGGGGGGGTTTGGGGGGGTGAGAGGGGGGGGGTTTAATCCAGATGAGCACCTCGGGGCAACATGGCCCTTTTGTTTTGAAAATTTTATAAAGTTTTTTTGTTAGGGGTGCATGTTTACCTATGTTTGGTTTGCATGAAAAACATTTTAAATTTTGAGGGTCTTTTTCTCCCCTCTTTTGAAATGATTTATTTTGAGAAGTTGGCAATTGTTGAAAGGACATTAATGGTATAGAATCCGGGAAAAACTTAGTTTTAAATAAACAAAACATAGTGTTTGTCATGTGTTTCCCATGAACTACATTTTCATATTCCTTGATCAATATTGTGTTGACAATTGAATAATTATGTTATTTTTGGCTCATAAAAATCTGAGTATTTAGCATTCAAAGAAAAGTTGGGCTGTCATACCTTGGATCACTACCAGTTTTATTCTTTTTAAAGCTTTGCATTCAACTTAAACCACTTTAAGATATAAATTTTGCTTTACATATATGTCTTTGAGATCAATATTGGAGGTCAGACCCATATTTACTGTTGAATGACATTTGACTGAATTATTGCCCTTTTGTGTGCAGCATTAATCTTGAAACTACTGTCGGTGTTCTTTGGGGTCATAATTTTCACAGGATTTCTAAACCAAAATTTTAACTTTTGGTTTTTTGCCCGGGTTTTGCCCCCTTAAACTTTCAAAAGAAAGAAAACATAAAATCTTCAAAAGATAAAAGGTATTAAATTAAAAAGTTGATTTTGTCTTTTAAATTTAAAAAATTTTTACCAAAAAAAAATTCCCATATTTTTTTGGAAAAAATATGGTCATTCTCTTCAAATTTGGGGCCCCTTTTTAAAAAATCATAATTATGTCAAGTACTTAGTTAATTCCTACAATATCCATTGGTGCTCTTAATTTTTAGCTCGACTTTTCTATGAAAAGGGGAGCTATCCTACTCGCCCCGGCGTCGGCGTTGGCGTCACACCTTGGTTAAGTTTTTCGTACCACCCCACTTTATTTCAGAAGTATTACAAGTATGGCTTTGAAACTTACCATACTTGTTCACCATCATAACCTCCATCTACAGACAAGAGTACATAACTCTGTCAAGGTTTTTGACAGAATTATGGCCCTTTTTTTGACTTAGAAAGTGTATTGAGCTTGGTTAAGTTTTTTGTACCACCTCACTTTATTTCAAAACCATTGGAGGTATTGCTTTGAAACTGACCATACTTGTTTACCATCACGACCTTCATCAACAGACAAGAGGACATAACTCTGTCAAGGTTTTTGACAAAATTATGCCCCTTTTTGACTTAGAAAATACATTGAATATGGGTAAAATCCACTTATTGCCTTAACCCTTTGAGATATTGCTTTGAAACTTTTAATGCTATTTCACATCATTACCCCCATCTGTACGCAAGAGAAGGTAACTCTGTCAGGGATTTGTTTTAAAAAATTAAGGCCTTTTATCGACTTAGAATCTTGGTTAAGTTTTTTGTACCAGTCAACTTTTTGACTGAACTGGTTGAGATATTAAATTGAAAGTTGGAATACTTGTTTACCATCATGGTCCCAAACATGGGCAGGAGAAGGTAATTCTGTTAAGGATTTTATTTGAATTATGGCCCTTTTTGACTTAGAAACTCAGTTAAAATTTTCATTCTTGTCCACTTGTTGACCTAACCATTTGAGATATTACTTTGGAAGTTGGAGTTCTTATGTGCCATCATGAGACCTATCTGTAAGCAAGAGAAGATAACTCTGTGAAAATGTTTCTTGATTTGTACTTAGAAATTCCTAGTTAAAGTCTTGTGTGCCCTTAACTGTCAAAGTTTTGTTTTATAGGCAAGCACTAAAAAAGTCGAGCGCGCTGTCCTTCTGACAGCTCTTGTTTTGTAATGCACCGAGAATGATCTAGCATGTTTTCCTACTGTTTCCTATTCTGTTTAAACTATTTCCGCTGAAGCCAGTAAGATATATGAATACAAGGTGTATAAGTTATGGGGACTTTTTACCATACCATTACCATAATTCAATATCATTTATTTCAGAAAAAGTTTCAAGAAGCATTAGAAAATTGTGACAAAGGTAGGTCATCATAACTTTTTAACTTAATGCCTTCTACAAGTACTAATTCCTTATTTGCAACAGTTTAATTGAACCACTGAAATCCTGTGCATGCAGAATGATGAAATGAACTGTTGTCCAGTCAACATTTTTTCCTGTTATACCCTTGTTGACGCCATTAGGTATTTCCGTTTACGCCGCCTGCCACTATTCTGTTTTCGAACATTGCTCAAATAGTGTTCGATAGTGGTTTGTCTATATGGTTTAAAACAGTTGTAAAAAAAATGTTATATGTATGTTGATGCTATATATATATTGTTGCAAATATTAGGTAATAAAACAGTTATTTCATGAGTGTATGTGGAACCTATTGTCCCTCGGTATCAGGGATGGCATTTGGAACTGTTGCCTTCGGCCTCTGGAAACAGTTTCAAATGTCATTCCTGATACCGAGGGGCAACAAACAGTTATGACTTTTCCAAACACACCCATGAAATAATTGTATATTAGTAACTAGTTATTAACAGTTAAAATAACTTTTATATCACTGACTTTTATGACATTCTTGTCAGGCTTTTAATATAGAGCAATCTATAGTGTGCATTTCTCAGACTTTAAAGTTTCATCTAGTAAAAGGAAGTGATTCCAAAGAATGAAAAATTTGTTTTTGTCCAGTTTATTAAGTAAGAAACATCATCTGTTAATATTTATTTTGTTACAAAACTTCAAGAAACAGACATACAGAAAATTTTTAGTGACTTTACCATAAAAAAAATTACAAACAGTGACACATTTCTGAATAATATAATATGTTATTTATATTCCTGTTATTTACTTCTTATTACACATTTTCCACCCATTTCTGTAATATTGTTTGTATACCTGAAAATGATAAAAAAAGGCTGTTATGATACTGTAACACACTGTTTTGATTATGAGATATAATAAAAGTAACAGACTGATACAAATTTATTTTATATATAAGATATACAGCCTGTTACAATACACATAAAAATATTATAATTTGTTTAAATGTCATTTGGTATACAATGTATGTGATGTTTAATTAATGAAAAAAAAATATAAATACGGTAGATTCTTTCAACTTAATTTCTATGTAATTTTATATCCTGTTTGGTGTTTGCCGATCTATGAAACCATATTAATACAAACACAATTTAATCAATAAAAGTTACATAGATTTTGATGAGTAAATATACACATATATCAATGTTCAAGGTTGCTTATTACTTGTTAGTAGATGATATATGATTTAATATGATTGACATGATCATCATATGTTACATGCAATTTGTTAATGTACACACATTTTGCCTGCTTTAATGATATTTAATTGTATAATTATGCATATCTGTATGAATTTTCTGCCTTCATATGACACATGTGCTGTCCTTTCTCTTGCAGAAATATGTAAATGATGCCCGAGGCCCTGATAATGAGTGATTAATTACCTCATGTTTTATTACATAATGGCAATGTTAATACACTAGTTACATGTGTGTGATACTATTCATTTTCAATGTAATAAAGGGTTTGTCTCACTTTAAACTCTTTGATATCTTGTTCATTTCCCATGCAAATATTTATTATAGAGTATGTTATTATTCAATAATTAGTGTTTTTTTATTACTTACAATTTATTTAATGTTGTCACAATAGCTATAATTGTGATTGTTTTTACTTTTATAGCTCTTTCCCAGTTTGGTAATAATGAAAGGCTTCTTGAGAAAAAGATCAAAGTATTGTGTCATCAGGGTCACTTTGAAGATGCTTACAGTGAGGCCCTTGTCTGGTTACAAAGAGAACCAAGGGTAAGTCCAGGATCAATTATGAATTATGTGATAACTACTTCTACACTAATGCAAAATTTTCTTGATGAATAAATTAATTACAGGAAATTTAATGTAAATTTTGTTTCAATTACATTTATTTAAAAGAAAATACTATCAAAGTAGGAAAAATAATACAACAGGAAGCTATGTATCTGTAAACAGATTGATATTAAATACATATTAAGGACGTAAACTGAAAATTCTTTGAAAGAAAGTGAAAAGAATTTTATCGAACGAAAGTGAAATTTTTTTTATTAAGTTTCAACATGTCTACATGTTTTTGGAATGGGTTTATATTAGTAAGTCAGCAAATCATGATTTGGTTGTTACCTAATTGTATTGAGAATTTCTATTAGATATCATACTCTATAAAACCTGATTATTATGATTATTGTAATGCTATAATATATAATGAAGAATGCAATATTTACTATCTTTACAGCATCCAGTAGCAATTAAAGAATTGAAGAGATTGAAGATTGTTCTTGATGCCTTGAAAGACCAGGTTTATTATTTTGTTCTAAGTTGTTTGAAGTGATATGAGTTAATACAGTATATTCGTTGTTCAAACTGCATTGAAAGTCATATGTTATTTCTATTATAAGGGGCAACTGTGGCCAAGAAGTTAAGGTTGTTGACTTCAAACAACTTGCCCTCACCACTGTAAGTTGGAATCCCAACACAGAATTTGGATTCTTTCATGTTAGGAAGCTATCCAGCTAGCTTAAAAAGTGTAAGGTGGTTCTACTCAGGTGTTCTTTTGTGGCTAAAATAATGCATGAAGGTTCACCAGAGGTCTTGCTCCACCAGTAAAACTGGAAAGTTGCTGGATGACCTAAAAAAATGCTATTGTGATATTATGATTTATGTGATGATTGTGTTATGTAGGTAGGAAATTAGTGTCACTATTCTTTCACTCCTTTTCTTCTGCAAATTAGATTTGAATAAACTTTTTGCCAATTAATTTACACTGTCTTCAACAATTTAGATCATATAAAACTTGTAGATAATCTGCCTGTTAATATCACAATATATAACTGTTACAGGAATCAGGTAGACTTTCATATAACAATATATAACTTACAGGAATCAGGTAGACTTTCATAAAACAATATATAATTGTTACAGGAATCAGGTACTTTCATATAACAATATGTAACTGTTACAGGAATCAGGTAGACTTTCATATAACAATATATAACTGTTACAGGAATCAGGTAGACTTTCATATTACAATATATAACTGTTACAGGAATCAGGTAGACTTTCATATAACAATATATAACTGTTACAGGAATCAGGTAGACTTTCATATTACAATATATAACTGTTACAGGAATCAGGTAGACTTTTATAAAAAAAAATTTTTTAAATGTTTCAGGAATTTTTAGGGGGACTTTCATTAAAAATATATAAATGTTACCCGGGAAACAGGGAGGGCTTTCATATTACCAAAAATTTTAAAAATGTTACAGGAATCAGGTAGCTTTTTTTTATAACCAAAAAATAAAAAAACTGTTTTCGGAAAAACAGAAAGAAAAAAGCCATGTGTTCCTTTTGGGAGGGAAAACAATAATGGGCACATCAAACAAAAAGCTCAACAAATCATCTCAAAGAAATTTGGGAAAAACAAATTTTTTCCCCCAAAAAAAAATTTCCAAAAAATTTCCGGCTTTTAAACGGTATGTCTTTTTTAATTTAAAAAAAGATGGGCTTTTGACAAAGGGGTTTTATTATTTTAAAAAATTTTTTTTGGTTTGAAATGTTTTTATTAAACTGCTTCAGGGTTTTGTTATGGGCTGTATTTCTTGAAGAATAGCCTTGCTTAAATATCAAAAATATCTAAGAAAATGAAGCTAATTTAAAAAAAAATCTAAGCTTGTTGGCTTTGAATAAAAAGTCCAGCTACTATGATCGCTGTGTGACCATGGTCCAAAAACTTTGATGTAGCCTATTATTCAAACATTTCAAAAGGTATCAACATGAAACTTTGAATGCTTGCTTATTATTGCATGGTGCAGTTGTTAGACAATTGGGCATGATGCTGAAAGCAATTTCTTTTAAGTCATGCATCTTTTTACTAAAAATTTTTTAACAGTTGAGCCTGAAAAGGCATGCCATGCTCTTGTTTTGGTTTGCAGTTTGATGGTTATGGAAAAAACCTCTATTTCATGGAATACAAAACTTTAGTGTAATAGAGAACACTTGTATGTACGTCTAAGTAGAATTACAATTTATAACTAATGCTTCATGTATAAAAATAATTTTTTTTTGTGATTAAGATAACCAAAGCATAAATTCCCTTTAAAGTTGCTAAAAACCTAAATTTGATTTTTCCTTTAAAAAAGTATTTTTTACCAAAATTTTTTCCAAACAATTGAAAAAACCCCCATAATTTTAAATTAACCTGATCTTAAAATTTTTTGCTCAATCCCCTTGACCTTTCCTGCTCAAAATTTTTTAACATGACCTTTTCACAAAAAGTGACCTTTACACCCATTGCCGTTTGTGGAGAAACATAAGAAAAATTTTTTAACCTCAGATGAGGGACACAGCTGGAAATTAAAAGGGCCCCCTCCAAGAGCCTCATACCAAAAGGCTTTCATTAGTCAAGGGGGTTTAATTTTTTAAAAAATTTTCTTTTTGAAAAAACCATTCCCAAATTTTGATTTAAATACCCCCCAAAAAAAATCTACAAATTTTTTCCGCTCATTTACCTTTTACAATTTAAATTTTAAAAAATACTGTTTGATATTGCTAAAACAATTGTTAACAATTTATAGTTAGGTTACAGTGTATTAATGAGAACAGAAACCCGTCAACAAAATAGAAAATTTTTGTATCTTTATTTTTACAGTTTACAAAAATTGAATTGTGAAAGTCCCACAAAATCACGAAAGAAAAAAGCCCCCTTTTTAACAAAACAAAAAAAAAAAAGAAAAAGTTTTCGTAGAAATTTTTAAAATATTTATAAATACAAAACTTTTTCCTTTTTTTTCTGATAAATTAAGTTTTTTCTTTAAAAGGAAAAGTTAAATAATATTTAAATTTTAATTTTTTTTAAGAATGTTTTATGTTTTTTAAACCCTTGGTTATTAGAAGGGGAAGAAATTGGGGAATGTTTGATATAAATGGGGGAAAAGGATGTTCAGTCAGTGTTTAATTTTCTTTTAATTTCCTTGAATTTATTGGTGGCATTTTATTTCTTTATGTTAAGTATTGAAGAAGTTCTATGGCCAGCTCCTAATTTATTAAATTTATAGAATATATTTTTAGAGATTCTACCTAATGTTCAGATGGTGATATACAGTTGTAGTTAAATTGGTCTCACTTGACAGTGGTTAAATCTGAGAATCCCATATTTTCATCTGATGAAGCTAGTTGTTTTGTGGGTTTTTTATGCTCCCCGAAAAATTTCGGGGGAGCATATAGTCGGCGCCTTGTCCGTCTGTCCGTCCATCTGTCCGTCCATTGTCTTGTCCGGAGCATAACTTGAAAACCCTTGGAGATAATTTGTTGAAACTTCATACAGTGGTAGAGGGCATTGAGGGGGAGTGCAGTGTCAAAGAACCATAACTCTATTTTGCCTGGTTTTTTGAATTATCTCCCCTTATAGAAAAATCTTGTCGGGGCATAACTCTAAAACCAAAGAGATATCAACATGAAACTTTGTAGGTGAATAGATCTCAATAGGTAGATGTGCAGTGCATAAGAACAATAACTATTTTGTCCTCATTTTGGAGTTATTGCCCTTTGTTAATTTCAACACTTTGAACTTTGTCTGGAACATAACTCTAAAACTATAAGAGATATCAAGATAAAACATTGTAGGTAGATAGATCTCATTGAGTAGAGGTGCAGTGCAAAAGAACCAAAACTCTGTTAAGCCTCATTTTTGAATTATCTCCCCTTTTAGAAAAATCTTGTCCAGGACACAGCTGTAAAGCTATAAAAGATATCAACATGAAACTTTGTAGGTAGATATATCTCAATGGGTAGATGTGCAGTGCACAAGAATCATAACTCTGCCTTGCCTAATTCTGGAGTTATTGCCCTTTGTTTATTTTTACTTTTGAAGTTGTCCGGGACATAACTCTGAAATCATAAGAGATATCATCAAGAAACTTTGTAGGTTGATAGATCACATTGATTAGAAGTGCAGTGCAAAGAACAGTTACTCTGCCTTGCCTAATTTTGAAATTATTGCACTTTGAACTTTTTCCAGGGACATAACTCTGAAACTACAAGAGGTGTACTTTCCTGTGTCCAAAACCTATTCGGGGATCATCACCCGGCTCAAACCGGGCTCTTGTTTAATCAGTTTTTGTTTTAAATACAAATAAACTAAACATGTGGTATGGTTTCTCCATATATAGTATTTTTGTTCACATTTATGAGTAATCCAATTTGCTATAATGAATTTTTTTATCTGAGATAACTGTTACAAATCAAACTTTATTGTAGATATACAGCTAGTGGGCGTTGTCCCTATGCAGACAAATGTATTGAGGCCCACTCTGCAGAAGAGCTAGAGGAATGGAGAGACAGGTTCAAATTTAAACGGCAGCAGTTACAGATGGCAAAAGATAAACATCTTCATGGCAACACTTATCCAGAACAGCTCATGGAAAAACTCATGACTGCAGAGTACCCCAAGTCTGTGGTTAGTAAATTACCTTGTTATTAATTAGAAAGATATTCAAGCATCATGATTATTATTTGTGTAACATAAGCCTCTGGTCCCACCCTCCTCCCCCCCCCCCCCAAAAAAAAAACAACAAAAACAAACAACAGCACGAAATTCAACAAACTTTAAAATGCAAGGAAAATACAATGAGATGATCATAAATATATATGGAATAACACTGTTGCGTATACATCAACAATCAGTTAAAGAAAGATTTTGTAAATACAGGTTAAAGTAATGAATTGGCATATGTTTTTAGTGCAATTTAAAGTGTATAAAGCTATATATGTGACATGTTGTTTACAGAATTATGGTTTGAATTTCGAAAAATAATACATCTAGAATACCTGTATGGAAGAAATATGTTTGTATATTTCTTTTTCAGCAATTGGTGCATGTACAAAACTGTTGCTAAACAGTTAAAACCCTACTTAAATTAGCAGCATAATATTTTGTTCCGGAATAGCTTTATTCAGTTTACGTATAATATTCATATGTGTTGAGTAAAGAGTTACTCTATGTTACAACTCTTTCGAGAATTGACCATAAGATTATTGAAAATACAAAATTTTACAGCGTATATATAGGATATAGCTTTATACCCTTTAAAACTCCAACTATATCACTAACAACAATTTTATTGAACAAAAAAAGCATGTGTGACCATGTCAGTTTATCTATATTTTGGAAACATTAAAATCTTGCTTATGATAGTTGCCGGAGCAGAAGTAAATGACCAAATAGTCCAAAATAAAAGTGTACTTGAAGGGAGGTAATACACGATTGTGTCTTGCACAATTTTAAGGTACTGGTTATTGCCCTTTATAAATAGTTTTGTTATAATTACATGCATCTGGTCATGTAGGTACTGTCTGTTGACAGTTTTACCTTGATGATTGTTGATAAGTATATAAGTTCATGTAAACAGTGTTACCTACCTGCTCTAGCTCAATATTTACATGATTTTCTCCAGGTATATTATTTATCTCATGATCTCTTTTTCTTCTTCGTGAAACTTCATCAAAGAAAAATATTAAATTTGTCTCATTATGAGATATAATTTCTCTCATTTGACAATCAATTTTTTTTTATATTTAAATTTTCTATAATTTATAGAAGTTCTATAAATTAATTTAACATATGTTTTTAAAGACAAGTTTTACATACTTCAATTAATATGTTTTGATGAAAGTGTGCTATGAAAAAAAACAAAATCATCAAAAGTATCAACTTGAATCTTTATTGATGTGAAGAGAAGTGGGGTGCTTTTGTCTTGAGCATAGCTCAAAATTGTAGGCATCAACTTGACAATTTCTTGGTAAATAAATCATATTTAGGAAAAGTGCCATACCTAAGAACCATCACTTTGTAGTAATATTTTTGAATTATTGCCCTTTGTAATTTTTCATACTTAATTTTACATTATGTTTAATCAATATGATGGATCAAAAGCTTCCTAAATACTCTACTAATGGAGTGCCATGTTGTGTTAATTTGCACATAGGACACAGGCAGTTCTAGTAGCATTGTGTATAGTTTAAAAAATATCTTCCTTTCCTTTTTAAGCCAAATGTTTAGGTTAATTTCATTTTTATTACTAGAACATATTTGGAAATAACGATGTAAATTGTGTTTAATAGACACAGAAATCTCTTCAGGCAAATGTCATAATTATTGCTTTATAATTGTCAGGTAAGTAGAGGAAAAAAACTGTCTGAAATAATTACAATGTTTTACTGGGAAAGTGCGTCCATATTGACGAACATGTTTGCCCTTCTCAAGGTTACCTAGGAACAAATGTATATAACTATTTAATGATGGTAACAATTAATTGTAGGTTTTGAATTACGTATCTGGGAAATAATTTATTTGAACAGATCAAGACTTTTTTAATGATATGATGGTTTTATTTTCATTCATTTTATCACTATGCTTATTATATTATGAATGTTAATGGTTGAAGATCAGTGTGTTTAACAGTTTGGAAAATAGTTATATGATTTTTCAGATACTGTAAGTCTGTTTTAAGACTATTTTATTTAACATTACAAGTTTATTTTAAGTTTATAGCTGACCAGAGCTTGACTTGCTCAGGGTGAGCTATTGTGATCACTTGCTGTCTGTCATCTGGTGTCCATCTATCCACAGATTTCTGTAATATTTCTAAACCACTTTGCATATAACGTCAAAACTTCATAGAAATGTTCCTGTGGGAGGGGGGATCCTCTTTCAAAGTTGTTAAAAAATCCATTCCATGCAGAACTCTACCAATAGAAATACTTTAGAAGGTGGTCTTGTCAAAAACAACTGGAGATATTTTAATATTAATTCACAAAAAGATGCATTGGGGTATCAATCTACTAATATTGTAATATTGTACAAAAAAATATTTTTTAATCAAATAATTTTTAAAAAAAACTTAGCAGCCAGTGGTTGTGGGTCTTTTTTTTTCCAATATACATGTTTATTACAAAAATGTATCAACATGTAGAGCATGTCTTCCTATGCAAAAATCTGTTGGTTTAGTTTTGTTATTGTTTCACAAAAATAATCCTTTATTGACTATTTGAATTATTATGATTTGAAAAAAAAATAGTGCTTGAGTAACTGGTCCATATCCCTTTATTTTTGTACCTAGAAATAAAGATGTTGAACATTTTCTTCTAAAAAATAATTAGTTTGATGATATTTTTTTTTCCACAAGAATTGTTCCCAGGTGATCTTATATCAATAATAATGAAATGATTCCCAGCAGTAAAAATTAATTGCAGTCTAAGGGTCTCTTTCCTGTATATATAATGCCAACAATTAACATACATACTATCTAATTATATCAAAATCTGAACAACAAAATAAACCTTTATGATTTTAATTTCTCTATCTATTTTTTAGATGGTTGCCAGTGTAGACTATGCGAAGGTGATAGTAAACTCTGATCTCAAGGTAAACATGATCTCCAAGAAGTGTACACATGCATGGACATTCACCATCACTAGTAAAGTATGTACTTTGTTTATTCTTCATTAATAAGTATAACTGCTTTAAAACTTGATTTAGGGGGCCTGTAAAGGTACATTAATAAGTATAACTGCTTTAAAAAATTGATTAAGGGGGCCTGTAAAGGTTTCTTTTGGCTTTGCTGGTGTCATTTGACTGATTTTTAATGGCATCTTCGAAAATTGATAAATTAAATCTCCAGTCTTTTAAGATAAATATGATTTAAATGTTGATTTCTTTATGTAACAAAATGATCCCTCTAGTATAAGTAAGATCTACTCGTTTAAAGGCTCGTGTTGGAGGCAATGCATGGATGACATCTTTTGTCTTCACTTTATTGTCAAAGGATCTAAATTGTGCCATTAAGCCTTATTGAATGATGTTTTTAGCTGTTGTACTATAGCAGAGCAATAATGATTTATATTGGCCCTTTCTATGTTAACTTAGTATTATGATCTTGCCCTGCTTTCATCTTTACACTACACATTGTTAATGATCTAAATATAGACCATATATTGTTTCAGATATGTATTTTACGAGTGGTATTACTAGATGAGGCAGTTTCTAACTATTTCTACATATCCAGTATATCTGTTGGGCCAAAGAAAACTCAGAAATATCAAAATCTAGAAAATCATTGCCAAGAATGGAAAAACCCAGAAATCACTATAAATAGACCAGGGGAATATGTGTACAGGGTAAAGGTATGTCAAGATATATTTTTATACCCCCACAAACTATATTTTATTAGGGAAATATAGGAGTCAGCTTGCTGGTTGATGGGTCAGTCCACTTCATGTGTTCTGAAGGATAACAAGAGTTTGGAATGAGTTAATTATGAGTTAATTATTGTAATAAAACTTGGTATACACTATAGAAAGCTTATATGAAGACCCCATTTGGGATTGCTTTTTGACCCTTTGGGGTCAAGGTTACTGAAAATACCAAAATGGTTTACGGACAATAACTAGAGTTAAGAATAAGATATTGCATTCAAACTTGGTATATAGCAAGCTTATATGAAGACCCTGGTTGTGATTGCTTTTGGACTCGATGTAACTGTTACAGAAAACAAAAAATGGTATCCAGACAAAACAATGAGTAAGGAATGAGATACTGTTATCAAAATGGGAATATAGCAAGCTTATATGAAGACCCCAGTTGGGATAACATTTAAACCCTCCTGGCGCCAAGGTCACTTAATTAAAATAGAAAAATGGTTTAAATGGATTAATAAATCCCATATACACTTTGTGGATATGCATTATGATTAAAAATAAGCTATTTTGTGATTTACTGGAGACATCAGGGAGGGAGATTTGGGCAAAAACTTGGCAAGACTAGATAGAAGTTAAATTGCCAAAAGAATTCTATCCCAAATAATTATTCCTTGCTAAGGTCAGTCTGCCTATATGCAGAGCAATGGACCATCGTAGCCAATCATGGCATTGCTTTTTCAAGTTCATGAATAAATCATCTTTTTATATACAAAATCCCATCCACTGACTTCAGCAGCTCAAAACTGGTTAATTATGAAATAAATACTTTTAACAAGGGATTAAGATATTTTGGGTCCAGTAATGTAAAAGGTTTTTAATTTCCCTAATTGACTGAATGGGTTACATCTACACATTTCCAGAAATATTTCAGCAGGAAAGAATAAAATCTTTTTTAAAACATAATTGATTCCAACTGATGATATACCATTCTTTAATTACATAAATAACATAAGTTTGCAGAGTTTAATTGGATGAGAACTTTAGAAATTACATTGGGTCAAACATTTAAAAAAAATGGGCTTTTAAAGAAAGTTGCTATTTCTCAAGAAATTTCAATATATTTAAAAGATTTTATAAGTTATTTAATAACCAATGTTAATTACATTATTAAAGTTGTAGGCCTGTGATTCAAACTTGTATAAAACAATGTTATTTTCTTTATGTATTATTAGGTGGTGTTTAAGACAGATATATATGGGACATTTCGAGAAACTTTGGTGTTTGACTTTGGTTCTGAGCCAGTGTTAAGTCGAGACATGCATGTAGAGTCGGCACCTGTAACTGATACAGAGAAAGTTCTCTCAGAGATACGACTCAGTCAACAAGGACGCTGGATATCTGATCAAGTACAGATTGTAGAATATAAACAGAAGTAAGCATTAAGCTATTTTATATTAACTATTGAAAGGAAAAACATGTAATGTTTAATGTACTTTAATTGGCCGGGTTGCACAGGTGCAAACCCGGGTTATAGTATGGTGAATGTCGGGCGGCGGCGGGCGGTGGGCGGCGGCGGGCGGGGAAAAAAATTTTCGTAACAGTTTTCTCAGCAACTACTTATCACAGCCTCTTGATATTTGGCATGCAGCATTGACACATGGTCCCATACCGTGGGATTGGATTTCAGGTCTGTCGCTCATCCACTTCCTGTTTATCCACTTAGTTAAATTAGTTAGATTTTTCAGCATTAATGGTCAATGGTATGAAATTTTCGTAACAGTTTTCTCAGCAACTACTTATCACAGCCTCTTGATATTTGGCATACAGCATTGATACATGATCCCATACTGTGGGATATGATTTCAGGTCTGTCGCTCATCCACTTCCTGTTTATCCACTTAGTTAAATTAGTTAGATTTTTCGACATTAATGGTCAATGGTAGGAAATTTTCGTAACAGTTTTCTCAGCAACTACTTATCACAGCCTCTTGATATTTGGCATGCAGCATTGACACATGGTCCCATACCGTGGGATTGGATTTCAGGTCTGTCGCTCATCCACTTCCTGTTTATCCACTTAGTTAAATTAGTTAGATTTTTCAGCATTAATGGTCAATGGTATGAAATTTTCGTAACAGTTTTCCCAGCAACTACTTATCACAGCCTCTTGATATTTGGCAAACAGCATTGATACATGATCCCATACTGTGGGATTTGATTTCAGGTCTGTCGCTCATCCACTTCCTGTTTATCCACTTAGTTAAATTAGTTAGATTTTTCGACATTAATGGTCAATGGTAGGAAATTTTCGTAACAGTTTTCTCAGAAACTACTAATCACAGCCTCTTGATATTTGGCATACAGCATTGACACATGGTCCCATACTGTGGGATTCGATTTTAGGTGTGTCGCTCATCCACTTCCTGTTTATCAACTTAGTTAAATTAGTTAGATTTTTCGACATTAATGGTCAATGGTAGGAAATTTTCGTAACAGTTTTCTCAGCAACTACTTATCACAGCCTCTTGATATTTGGCATGCAGCATTGACACATGGTCCCATACTGTGGGATTCGATTTCAAGTCTGCAGCTCATCCACTTCCTGTTCACATTAATGGTCAATGGAAGGAAATTTTCGTAACATTTTTCTCAGAAACTACTAATCACAGCCTCTTGATATTTGGCATACAGCATTGACACATGGTCCCATACTGTGGGATTCGATTTTAGGTGTGTAGCTAATCCACTACCTGTTTACCAACTGAATTAAATTTTCGACATTAATGGGTCAATGGAAATTTTTTTCGTAACAAATCAGCCTCATGATATTTGGTGTACAAATGCAACCCGGCCTTTTCTGTCTTTGACCCATTTTTTTAATTTTTGGAATATCATAATTGCTCGATTTCTTTCCTGAAATTTAGAAAGGCTTTTAACTCATCAGAAACTTATCATTTATTGCTATATATTTTAAACCTTTTGCATTTTGGGAATATCCTTCACAACTTGTAGCATGTTTTAGTTATGATTATATTACCTGAAAACATATCATGTTATTTTCTTTGCACAAATATTAGATTTGAAAACTTATTTACATTTGCTGGTGACAGTTGTTGAAGTATTGTAAAAAGGGCTAAAAAAAATTGTATGTTCGAAAAGTTTTTACCCCCCAAAAAATAAAAATGAATGTTTACTCCTTGATTCGATATAAAAGCTTCATTTTTTTCATTTGAAGGGGTAAAACTTTGTATTACTAACATTTTTACAGAGCTCCTGATGACCAGAAATCTATAGATTTATTAAAGAAGTATTCTCTACCTGGGATGAACAAGTTTAAGTTCTCAGAACACCTTATGCAAACACCCACCAAGGAGAACTATCGGCTCTGGATGCATCAAATGCTTTATGTTGAAGAACTTTCACAGATAGACAAAATATCAAAGTAAGTTAGCTACTTTCCATTATAGATTTCAAATTTATTGCAAATATGTTATGAAATTGAAACTAAAATCTATCAGGTATATTTCCATTGTTTCCTGTTAAAGCTGTGCCAGTTGTGATTATATTTATATGTGAAACAGAATTGAAATCACTGCTATATGACAGCTATTCTTTATTTTTAGCTCACCTGTCACAAAGTGACAGGGTGAGCTTTTGTGATCGCTTTTCGTCCGGCGTCCATCCGTCCGGCGTCCATCCGTCGATCATCCGTCCGTAAACTTTTACTTTAAATGACATCTCCTCATAAACCACAACGCCAATTTCATCCAAACTTCACAGGAATGTTCCTTTGCTGGTCACCTTTAAAAATTGTTTCCATGCAGAACTCTGGTTGCCATGGCAACCGAAAGAAAAAACTTTAAATATCTTTTTTTAGCTCGACTTTTCTATGAAAAGGGGAGCTATCCTACTCGCCCCGGCGTCGGCGTTGGCGTCACACCTTGGTTAAGTTTTTCGTACCACCCCACTTTATTTCAGAAGTATTACAAGTATGGCTTTGAAACTTACCATACTTGTTCACCATCATAACCTCCATCTACAGACAAGAGTACATAACTCTGTCAAGGTTTTTGACAGAATTATGGCCCTTTTTTGACTTAGAAAGTGTATTGAGCTTGGTTAAGTTTTTTGTACCACCTCACTTTATTTCAAAACCATTGGAGGTATTGCTTTGAAACTGACCATACTTGTTTACCATCACGACCTTCATCAACAGACAAGAGGACATAACTCTGTCAAGGTTTTTGACAGAATTATGCCCCTTTTTGACTTAGAAAATACATTGAATATGGGTAAAATCCACTTATTGCCTTAACCCTTTGAGATATTGCTTTGAAACTTTTAATGCTATTTCACATCATTACCCCCATCTGTACGCAAGAGAAGGTAACTCTGTCAAGGATTTGTTTTAAAAATTAAGGCCTTTTATCGACTTAGAATCTTGGTTAAGTTTTTAGTACCAGTCCACTTTTTGACTGAACTGTTTGAGATATTAATTTGAAAGTTGGAATACTTGTTTACAATCATGATTCCCAAACATGTCCAGGAGAAGGTAATTCTGTCAAAGATTTTATTTGAATTATGGCCCTTAACTGTCAATGTTTTGTATTATAGGCAAGCACTAAAAAACTTAAAAAATCTAAAAAAATTCATTCCTATCCACTTGTTCACTTTACCATAAATTATGTCATATAAACATTGCTGTAATATTCAAGGGTATCAAACAACTAGTTCACTTTAAAAATACAGAGATTCTTGTATTGCCTTTTACTGCAAAAAATTTTTTTATTGGCAAGCAATAAAAAAGTCGAGCGCGCTGTCTTACGGACAGCTCTTGTTTAAAAACCTAAAGAGCTAGAGCTTAGATATTTGGCATGAAACATCTTCTAGTGAGTGTCTACCAAGTTTGTTCAAATAAAAGCCCTGGGGTCAAAATTGGCCCCGCCCCAGGGGGTCATTGATTTTCCCTATATGCATATAGTAAAAACTTAAAAAATCTTCTTTTAAAGAACCCAAAGAGCTAGAGCTAAGATATTTAGCATGAAACATCTTCTAATGAGTGTCTACCAAGTTTGTTCAAATAAAAGCCCTGGGGTCAAAATTTGCCCCGCCCCAGGGGATCATTGATTTTCCCTATATGCATATAGTAAAAACTTAAAAAATCTTCTTTTAAAGAACCCAAAGAGCTAGAGCTAAGATATTTAGCATGAAACATGTTCTAATGGGTGTCTACAAAGTTTGTTCAAATAAAAGCCCTGGGGTCAAAATTTGCCCCGCCCCAGGGGGTCATTGATTTTCCCTATATGCATATAGTAAAAACTTAAAAAATCTTCTTTTAAAGAACCCAAAGAGCTAGAGCTAAGATATTTAGCATGAAACATGTTCTAATGGGTGTCTACAAAGTTTGTTCAAATAAAAGCCCTGGGGTCAAAATTGGCCCCGCCCCGGGGGTCATTGATTTTCCTTATATGTATGTGTATGGCAAAAACTTAAAAATCTTCTTTGAAAAAACCCAAATAGCTAGAGTTTAGATATTAAGCATGAAACATCTTCTAGTAAGTGTCTACAAAGTTTGTGTAAATAAAAGCCCTGGGGTTAAAACTGGCCCCGCCCCAGAGGTGTCATTGTTTGTAACTATATGTGTATAGTAAAAACTTGAAAAACCTTCTTTTAAAAAACCCAATGAGCTAGAGGTTAGATTGTTAAGCAGGTAATATCTTTTTGTTGGTGTCTACCAAGTTTGTTCAAATAAAAGCCCTTGGGTTAAAATTGGCCCTGCCAAGGGGGGGGTGGGGGGGGCGGAGGTCATTGTTTTTCATTATATGTGTGTAGTAAAAACTTAACATCATGAAACATCTTCTAATGGGTGTCTTCCAAGTTTGTTCAAATAAAAGCCCTGGGGTTTAAACTGGCCATGCTCCGGGGGCCTATATACAGGTGAGCGACCTCAGGGCCATCATGGCCCTCTTGTTACAAAGTTTGGTTTAAATAGTATTGTATTATGTTAATAAAATTTCATTCTCATAGTATTATTTTTACAATCAAGTGACAGCATTATGTTTATTGATAACCAAGATTAATAATTGTAAAATATTGTAAGTAATTAATTATATGTTTTATTATTTCTAGGTTTAACATCACAACATCGTTACAGCTAGTGAATCGTTTCCTGTTGATGCCAGGCTCATTGTCAGCAGCAAAGTTTGCCCAGGATGGAGAGCTGTTTGCACGTATGAAGCTAGAAGATGACCTCTCGGTTGATTCAGTTGCTGGACGACTGATATTAAAAAGTACAAACCTTGTGTGGCTGGCTCCACATAAACCTGGTTCCAAAAACAATGCACTGCCGAAAAAGGTAGCTCTTTGATTAATTTGTACAATTAGTGAAGTGAAATTTCCTTCCAAATGTGTTACAATATTTAAATGGCTTTTGGTGTAAACAAACAGTTAAAGGCACATTATTCCTCAGAAATGAATAAATATTTCCTGAAGAAAAACATGAGTTTAATAACGTTAAGATAATGAGTTTAGAGCATGTTGTATGCTCATCACCTAAAAAAAAGAAGTGCTGAATGTGACATTATCTCTCATAAAAAGTGTCAAATGTAAACAAAGTAGTATTTTGACTTTGATCATGTTTGCAGGTATTTGATGACTTTGTTCATGTTTGCAGGTATATGAAGCTGTAATAGAAGACAGGGGGAAAAATTTCATATTTCTACGACTGTCAAGGGAATGTGTTGAAGAACTTGAACTGACATGTGACCAAGAATTTTCTGTGGAGGTAATATACAATTAAATACTAAAACAGTTAACAAATATTGCCGTTACAATTCTATCCTGAAACATATATAAATAGTCTCTTAGCTGAGAATAATTTTATCCTCACCTTTGTTTTATACATACTATGATAGGTCTCTAAAAATAAATGAGATGTATTTACACAAGTCGTGTTTTTAGATCCAGCAAGCAACTGTAGTGTAAACAGTAAGATAAAATTTATGTAATATATAAACCTACATGTACTGTACAAATTGACAAGTTAAAGACAGAACATAATTATTACTTTACTTCACAATGACTTCTGTACAATGCACCTTGTAATACTTGTGCTTCTATACCTAAAATTGGTGTGTATATATGTGATATTAAAACATTTGATGTTGTTTAAAGGTGCAGTTCCAGTTAAACAGACTTCATTTCTGTGAGATGCACCATGCAGTTGATGCCTTGTCAACACTGGATATTGTCTTCCCTCCTGCACTCGAACAGTTACCTCCTGTAGACTGGTAAACTATCTTGATTGTTTGTAATTGATCTAAATTGTCACTCTTCAAAGATAGAAAGAATTTTTGACAGTTTTGTTAGTGTTGCACATGTCTTTTAAAATATGAAATAGTGTCTGTGATAAAGTTGCATAACTTTATGTCATAGTTCTGTCAGACCAGTTTAAAAGGAAGAGTGTTTTATCTATAGAAAGCTGACTTATTTAAGTTTTTGGGAGGTGCCTATGTTTTCCTAGTATGACAATTTGGTTGATAACAATACAGCTGTTTTAAGGATTTCTGTTCCTCTGTCATAAAAAAAGATAAAATTCTTTTCTTGATAAATATAGCATAAGTTATAAAAATATAGCTATTTTGAGGACTAAAAGAATGTGTTCAAATTACAAGGAATGTTTCTGAAAATGTAAAGTTCAAGGTAATTTCTCTGTGATTAAATATTATTTTTAAAGTTATATTTCAAACAGATATGAAAATCAGGCAGTTGTTATGTTGTTTTTTTTAATTTTCATGTTTTAACAAATGACACAAATCTTCTCCATTTTGTTTGATTCAGGACTTGGAAGGAAGATGTTGGAGACAGAACAAATGAGGATCAAAGAGATGCTATCATGAAGTGTGCAGCATATTCCCATAAAGCATTACCTCCCTTACTCATTGTTGGTCCATTTGGTACTGGAAAAACTTACACCTTAGCACAGTGTGCAAAACATGTTCTGCTGGAAGAAAACACAAGAATATTGATATGTACCCATTCTAATAGGTGAATGTCTTATATAGCAGCTTTACTCTCTATTTCATGCATATTTTCTGTATAGAGTTGCAACAAGAAGAATAGCATCCATTATGTTTTGTGAATAACAAGTGATGGGTTTAATTCACTTACTAACTTGTACTGCAGTACAAGAGTGTGTTATTTTATTTATAAGATACATTTGAATTTAAGTAATGGCATGCTTTTTTGTAAAAAAAGGGATTATTAAAACTGAATAAAGTATTTTAGTTTTATAAGCACCATCTTACTAGATTTAAGGAAACCCCTAACTAAACTCTTTACAACTAAGTCTAAATGGAGAATTAGTTTAGAAGATTGACGTAGTGATGTTTATATTTGTTTTCAGTGCTGCTGATATTTATATTAAAGAGTTTTTACATCCTTATGTAATGGATGGTAATCTTGAAGCACGGCCTCTGCGTGTATATTACCGTCACCGTTGGATACAGACTGTCTCAGAGACTGTTCTACAATATTGTATACAAGAACAGTCAGGTCCTCAGGCTGGAACTTTCAGGTAACATTCTATATTATTGTATCTTATATTGATGAAATTGGTAAACATGTTTTGTATGCAATTTAACTAAAGTTTAGTCTTTTATTTGTTACTGATTTGCATATGCACAGGAAACGTATTTGTCATTCACTAATTTTGAAGAAAAAAACTGCTTCCTGTGATATTTGAATGGCACTATTTTCCTTAATTGTAAAGAAGTGTGATGCTCTTAAACAAAAAATTGATGTAGAAATTATTTTTAGGTTCTTAAATAAAAATATGCCAACTTAAAACATTGACAAATTCATTTATTCAGGGCCCCGCAGATAGAAGATGTAGAAAAGCATAGAGTAGTTATCACCACATTGAGTACAGCAAGGTTACTCTCTGACCTTGATCTCCCAGAAGGATTTTTTACACATATATTTCTGGATGAAGCTGCACAAGCCTTAGAGTGTGATATGTTGATTCCACTGTCTTTAGCAGGTCAAAATACTAGAGTAGTGTTAGCCGGCGACCATATGCAGGTAAATATAGAGTAATGCTGGTATCTATTATAAAACTTCTAACAGATATCATTTTTAGAAAGAATATTTGATATATTGATGTAAAAGAAGTTGAATAACAGCTTTAAAATTATAATTATATAGTTTTGGCATTGTATTGGTTGTCCATCTGTCTGTTTTCATGCTGGAAAATAACCACTATAGCTATTTTAGTGATAGATATAAAATGTTAAATGTGGTATATATTGTAATTCTTACAGAAACATTCTTTAAATGAAGCACCAAATGACAGTACATAATGTCACAATTAAATTTAATAATGTCATTTATCTCAAAAAGATCTCTTTTTGCTTGATACAGATCAATTTTTGTGAGCTTTACATAAAGATTTAAGGTGCAAAATACTAAAAAGCTTTGATCAAGTGATTTGTATCTCACTGCAGTGGATATTTCATCAAATTTGCTCATTTTGATATGTAAATATACAACTAAGTAAACAAATATAAATATGTTTTGCAGATGAGTCCAGAGGCATTTTCTGATTTTGCCAGACAGCAACAGTTTCACAAGTCATTGTTGGAGCGTTTGTATGATATGTATGCTGACAATAGTCCTAGTAAAGTGATGCTGTGTGAGAATTACCGTGCTAACAGGGCCATCATAGAGTTTACATCCGAGTTATTCTACGATAATAAACTGAAGGCATCAAAAGATCCTATAGCTCACAGCGTATACTACCCTCTCACATTCTTTACAGCTCGAGGAGAGGAAGTACAACATGAAAATAGTTCAGGATATTACAATATTGCTGAGGTAATTACCTCATAAACTTAGCTGTAAAATTATTGCTTTCCATAGGAGAGCTCTTGAAGACTTTCAATGATAGTGTTAAACTTGGCATGCATGTATGTTTTATGTCAAGTTCAATTTCTCTGCAATCAGTTTATCATTGACAAAGTAATGCCCCCTTTATATGCTAACAATCAGATACTTATATGCTATATCTCAAAATTAATTACACTATTTTTTTCTTTCACATTTGATGCAAAAAGTTATCATAAACTTGCTACCTATCTTGAAGCCATATATTTGTATGTAATACCTTCTTAAAAATTTGCTGTCGGGCATCATCCCTACCTCAGCAAAGTTTTTGTTGATAAACTATTCTAGACACCATTTGATGAATTTACAGTTATATATGGGCCTGTTCTTAACATCTTATTCTATAAGATACAGAATCACAATTCTTATTCATGTATGAAATGCCCAACAAATAGTATGTCATGATTTGTGTTACTTACCAAGATTTGGACAATGTTTGTTTCTGTATATATGTATATTTTAATGATTGAATTTTAATAATTACAGATATATGAGATAATAGAGCAAGTTGACCATCTACAGAAACACTGGCCACAAGAATGGGGTGAATTTGATGAGAACAGTATATGTGTAGTAGCTCCTTACTCTGACCAGGTATATCTTATGTCCACATGTACTGATTTATTAAATCTTATGTATTTGTATATTTTAGTTATGTTTGTGACATTTCTAATTTGTAGACTATAGTTTAATGGTTATATGCAATATTTGGTTAATTTTTTTACAAGTGCATATGGTTGCCCGTACCAAGAAGTTGTCTAATAGTCAATTTCGTAAGCATTTTGTTTCCTGCTGACAGGATCCGATGACATATCCTCACAGAATTTAGTGAACCTTAGACAAGAAACAAGCAACTCCCCACTACAAAGTACTCATGGAGAGAGCCTTCGTTAATGTTCAAGGTTTAGAATACCAAATTTTTCGTATACGAGCGCACACTGCACATTTACCTCTTCTTATATTTTTACTCGATATTCGGCTGATCTGACAGGGATTCACCAATATAATTGCTGAATGTGACATGACAGGTAACAGTTTAAAATCTGTTATTGGTTGGAGTACTCAGAAGCACAGACTGTTGATATAGGCAGGTTATTATTTTGCTGTTGAGTGAATTAGACAATAACACAAATAACTTAAACATTATTATGCAAACACATTATTTATATATGCGATACATTTGTTTTTACTTTATAGAAATTTAGGTGTAAGAGGCTCAATGTTTTTGTCTCAAATTTCAGGAAAGCAGTTTCGTGTTATAGTAATGAGTACAGTAAGAACAAGGCATACATGCCCTACTGATGCAGCAGCTGCTGACAAGTTAGATCTAGGCTTCCTTTCCAACATTAAACTATTGAATACAGCAATCACTCGTGCACAGTCTTTAGTTATAGCAGTAGGTGATCCAGTATCCTTATGTCTAGCTGGCAGGTGCAGGTAAGAGTCATATTTTATTTGAAACTGAAAGTAACAGTATTCATGTAATGGAGTTATTTTAGTAACAACTATTAAAGAAATTCCTCTAGTTTATAAAGTCTTCAGTCCCGAGGAAAATAATGTATTATAAATTGTTTTCTCCCCGTCTATTTCTCATTCCTTCTTTGATAACTTGCAGATGTCAAACTTCATAGAATGAATGCTCAAACTGTATTTTTGTTGTTTTGTTTTATTATTTCGCAAATAAGTAAAAGATCATGGTGACCTTCGGTTTGAAATCTGTCAATGACATAGTCCTTTTAGTTAGCAGACAAGGTCATGATGACATTGAATTTGAAATCTATCCCACTCTTTTTATCAATTGAACTTTATAGATACATTCTAAAGGATATTTATAGAATTTTCCATGAGTCATGTAGGTAATTGATAATTCATGACAAGTAGAATACAAAATTAAACACAATTATAGCAAACTGATAAGTTTGTTTTTTTTACCTTTACTGTGCGCTCACTATTTACTTTAATGAGCATAATGTCACTTTAAACAAATTTTCCAGACATATGTCGAAACCCCCCAAAAAATGTCTTATAACAGCATCATCATGTATACAGATTTCAACACTTTACATGTTATATTCTTTACTTTTACTTAATGATTGTCCAATTTTAACATTTAATATCATTAGAGGTAAAAAAAAAAATGTTTAAAACAACTTCCACAAAGACCTTTGTTATATTCATTTTGATTAGGGATGCTTACAATTAAATCTACAGGAGATTTTAATTTTGTTTTCAGTAAAGTGTGGGAATATTACATTGAAGTTTGCAATGATAACAACAGTTTTTTTGGAATGACTGAACCACATCTGAGGTCCCTGCTCAATAATGCTGAGATGACAAAAACATACATCCTGAACCCACTTGCTCCAGAGTTTATCCCCAAGGCTGCATACCCAGGTCAACAGGGACAGCCTGTATTTATCTCTCACACAGGACAGATGGGCCCAGCAGTTGGTTGGCCTGCCAATCATCCTGCAGCATATAGAGGTCCTCATCCACAGGTTAGTTACTATATGTTACTTTTTCCATTGATTGAAAGGCAAATGCATAGTTTAGAATATGTAATTTGTTTTAATAGGATACTAGTATATTAATATTTTATGCATTATTGTTTTAAGTTCACAAGTGCACAACATGCTAAGGTGAGCTATCATAATTGCTCAACACATGTTGTTTGTCTGTTATCCTTTAAACAACATTGCCCCCTCATGGTCTAAGTCGTTATCAACATTAAATGTTTTTCATGGAAGATGTTAAAATTTTTTAGAACAGCAAACAGAATTATACATGGTCATTTTAAGAGTAGGATCTTTTTTTTTTTACCATAAAAAAATAAATATATTATTGAAAGAAAATATTGAAACTTTTGTCATGCCCCCTTTGTTAGCGTACCTTTTTGTTAAGGTCCATATAAGTATCTTTTGATTCAAATATTCACCACCATGAATTGTATTGTGCACTTGTGTATGTCAAAAAACAAGGTTACATTAAAGGTCAGAGGAAAATGATTGTCTGGAGCAATACCTATAAATGCATGTAGCATGACAAATTTACTCCTTTATGAGAAATGTTGCAAAATTTATGTTCCTTGTGGCCAAAGACAGTCATAGAGGTGAAAGGTCAGATGGAGAAAAAAGCATGTATGGACAATTTAGTGGATTGCATCAAAATGATAGCAGCCATTAATATTCATTAAGGGGCTTTTGGCCAATTTACTAGAAGTTTACAGAGAGGTTTTGGCCAATGGAATTTTTACCTACAATGTAACATATTGGTGAGTAATGTAGGGACATCATGGTCATCTTGTCTTATTTATTGATGGACAAAAATTAATACTTATCTTATTTGTCATATATAAATAAGTGTATGTAATGAGTTTTATTTTCTATGTTTTCAGGTGTATCCCTATGGAAATCCTTATGTACCTATGATGTATCCATCACCATATGGGCCATATCACCCATACATGGGACCTCTTGTATACAGGCAACATCCAGGAATGTACCCTGGAATGGGAGGAAAAGGTCAAATGAGGGGACCATTACCTAAACAATCAGGCCCAAAGGTGAAATTACCAGCACAGCCAGCTCTTCCTGTACAACGTGATGATGAAGATCGTAGTGATTCACCAAGGGCAACTGCCACACCTCCAAAGCCTGCATCATCTAAACAGCAAGCTCAAGCATCAGTCTCGCAGCCACCTAAGAAATCTGTCCAGAAAAGAATGGTTGCAGTCAATATGATGCCCAGAATGCCAATGTATCAGCCTTATTATGCTTATCCCCAGTATGTGATTCCATCAGAAGACCCAAGATACATGCAGATGCCACTTCAGGCTCCCTATTACTACTCGTATCCGAACATGCCACGGCATCCTTACCCTTACATGGTGCCTCAACCAGTTCATGTTCAAGTTCAGCCAAGACCCGGCTCAGGGAGTGTGTCTCCTGCCAGTTCAGATGGTGCCGTAAAAGGGAATCAGCCATCATCACCAACGGACAGCAGTCAGTCAGACGCCTTATCAATGTCTCCAGGTTCAACTGCTGGTCAACATATTCAGTTATTACCAAATGTAAAACATGTTCCTACGCACTTACTCTATAGTGCATCAGGAAGTGGCAATAACTCCCGTTCAAGCACTCCTGTTTTAGCAAATTCACCTGCACCTCAGCAGCAAGGAGGCATGGCAAGAGATAGTCCAAGGAATTCACAAGGAGAGATGGAATTCCCAACATTTAGAAGAAGGCATCATAGTGGGCCAAGACCTGTCTCTCAAAGCCCCAGCTACAGTTCACAAGGATCTCATGAAAGCTCTACATCTCCTGTTCTTAATGGGGACCAGACTGCAGCTGTTTATTCTTCTGAAGCAAGTCAGAAAGGAGCATATTCAGAGGTTAAAGTTAAATCACAGAGCAAATCTATTTCAAAAACAACAGAGAGACAAACATTAGCTGCTAAAGCACCACGAGCATTGAAGCTGAACACTAATACTACAGGCTTTAGTCGTCAGTTCAGTGATGAACTTGGAACTCCAACTGAAATTACAAATATTGTAAGAATGATAGAAGAAAATATTGATGAAGATGATGAGGAGGATGCAGAAAGGACTGCAGATATTTTGTTCAGAAAAGAGGCTGCCATGCATCAAAATAAACCCTCACCACCAGCAGGCAAGCTTTTCCTCAATCTGCCTGTACAGAAATCAGCAAATGAGCCAATACAGTCTTCATCAAGTAGTTCACATGAAGATGATGTTATGCCATCATATGCAAGAGCTGTAAGGCAACAGCTCCCATCTTATAGAGAGACTGATTTTGACCCATCAATGTTAGAGCCACAAACACCCATGACACCTGCTGGATTTCACACCCCTGGTACAGATATGAACACAGACCCTCTTGAACTCTTGCGTAATCTGAACATTAATAATGATAACTTAAACAAAAGTGCTCATGGTCACTTTTAAATTGTACATGTACATTGTATTTAGTTAATTGTTCATGAATAATTTGTACAAATATTTCTGCTGTATTTTTAAACATTCATTTAATATTTTTTAGGTTTTTAGACTTTAAAAATAAGATCAGATTTAACACACATGAACATAAGTCGTGATATTTAAAAAAAAAGTTTTTTGGCAATCCTAAAGTCTGGTAGTATTAATCTATCATTTTAGTAAACATAATATTCTAAGTGCTGTCCTGAACAATTCACAAGATATATATAGTGTATGTGTGGTGTTAGAATGTGCTGGTCACTATTACCTGCATATTTATCATCTTATTTTAGTGCATTAGTTGTTGGGCATATTGTTCCTGACCCATCTGTCTGTCTCTGCTGACACTTTAAACTTCATCACTACATTGTCATTATAAATGTTGATAATTACACACCTATTGGCAAAGACCTTTGTTGAACATGTTCATGTGTGACCTTGACCTTTGAATGACTGACATTCAATGTCATGTTTTAAAAGTTCAAGAAATTTCAGCATAACTATTTTGTACAGATTTGGGAATGGGGCGTGTGAGTTCTGTCCTCTCAATTTATATGTAAATATGGACTATTTTTCTATTAAAGAAGATGCATCTTTCACATATTTTATCATGACTTAAAGCACATATTGATAATTTAGCACCCTTTGTTATAGTAATAATTTTCTCTGGTTTGCAAGTAGAGAAAATGTTATATATGTTTTGGATGATAAATACTCCACACCATATAACAGTAATTGTTTGATATTAAAGTTGGTTATTGTATACATTACTAAAGCTGCAAGAGGAAATCTATTGGTAGCCTCTATGTGGCCTACATTATTTATCAATTACTTTGTTTTTGAAATGGTGTTGATATTTTTGAATGTGTAAAACAGCACTTTATATGTTTGTGCACTGTTTACACATAAAAATATGTTTATATTCTGTATTTATTCCATTTTCATACATCCATTACTTGCTTTTTGACTATATCCTGGCTTACAAATTATGTGTATTTCTAAAAGCACAACACTGCTTTTTTGTTGTGTTTAAATCATTATAAATATAAGTGTATGTTATCATGGGAAACCTGTATTACATAAGGAATATTATTAAGGTGAAAGTTTGTTGTAAACATATATAAAAGTAATATGAAAGTTATACAACTATTGTGGAATTCCACCAGACACCTGTCTCAATAATTATTGACATATATTAGTGTTACAGTGGAAATGATTAATGTAAGGGGGCTATTTGTAAATTTTATAGTGTATTATACTTTATCTTTTCACTTGAATAAGCTTTAAAAGTTACATATACACTGTATGTTCTTTAATGCTTAAGTTGTTGATTGCACTAGTCAGCTGGCTGGCTCCTGAATAAAGAGATACAGTATTCATATACAGTTTTAACATTAGGGTACAAGATAAAAGAATAATAGTTTGATTTCAAATTTTTTAAGGACAGTTACAACGTTATGGAGTGATTGTTCATGATTTCAAATATTGACTGGCACTAGAGTTATAGAAATTTGTATTCCTTTATGCTAGTAAAGGTCTTCCAAATGAAAAGGATCGCTAGATTTATATACAACAGATGGTTTTAAAGAAATTACATATGAAACATGGAAGGTCCGTTATTGCAGGAAGTGTTTCAACTGAACTTGTATTTCATTACAGACTCATTTCATCATTATGCTTGTTAATTCATTTCACTTTTGTGCTTTTGTTATTATACAATTGCATGATTTTAACTTGAACATCTTAGATGATGTTTCATTTTGTCACTTTTTATGATATATTTAATACTTTACTAATATATGTGTGTATTGAAAATGCTTGTTTTTGTCACCTATAAAACTTAATAACACTGTATTTGAAGTATTTTAATTGGAATAGTTGTAGCCTTGTAATATAAATGTAATTATTATACCAAAAACGTGTAATCAAAAACTGCATTGATTTAAGCAATGCCTTTGTAACAAAGAAACAAGCATTTTATACACTATAAATACATGTAGATCAGTCCCATTCTAAATAACCTACTGTCATTGTAGTAGTATATTTCTCTCTAGCTGTAGTTTGTGGTTTTTGTATTTATAATCAAGATTTGTTATATCAACAACACTATTATCATTGTGCAACAAAGCTATGTTTGGTATTCAATTTCATAGTCCAGTAGCTATACCTATTTTTTGAACATCCATTTTGAATGGAACTACATTCAGATTTCTATTTTTATATCTTAAACAACAGGGATTCATATTGTAATTTTAGGAACATAATTGATTGACCAAACATAAGTTTTGTTGTTAGGTCTAATATATTATAATATATTCATGTTTAGGTCATAGTATAATTTCTGTTTATAAGAACCCAAGTTTCTATCTGGGTGTACTGTTAGTACTGGTAACAGTAACTACATTGGATGCATCTATAAACAGCTCTAAATAGTTTTTTTAAGCTTGTTTAGTACAGAAATATTTTTTGTTTTGGTTCTTATCACAAATTGAAGTTTTTCTCAAGGTATCAAGTCATTTCAGAACGGTAAACAGTAATACATGTATATAACAAAAATAGTTTTGTGTATCAAATAGATGGACATTAATTTGGTTCCGGGCTATTTAAAATAAGGTATATAGATATTTTTAATTTTTTTATAACCTGATCATGGTAAAACTTTAGGACAGCAGTGTTATCAATGACACGCAAATGGAAGCATGCAGTGGTACAGTATGGTTTTTAGCTAGACTATTTTAAAAATGGTGAAAGCTATTGAACTCACCTGGGTGTCTTAAGTTTTTGCCTGCAAGTTGGTGTCTCCAAAACTAATGAAGGGAAAGTGTTGAAACTTCACACACTTATTTGAGAGAAGAATAGGAAGTGCTTGACTGAATATGGCTCTTTTTTAACTAAGAAAATTCTACATTATAATGGGTTCTAATTCACTGTCATGCACTAAGAAAAGTTGAACAGGCTGTCCTAGTGACAGCTCTTGTTGAAAATGTTATCAATGTAGTCTCTGTATAATGGTAGTCTGTATAAGTGTATTATGAGCAGATGCTATTTTTATAATACTTTTCATACAAAATTCATTTTCTGAAATATATCTTTGTTAGTACTGTACGAAAACAGTCGATGAGTATTTTTTACAGCATACCAAAGACATTAGTAGGTCATTTAAGTATAACATATATTTTATTCGGCATTAAATGCCAAAAAAAAACAACAAACAAACAAGAAGTAATAATTGAAGAAAGGAACAGATTATGCCTTGCATGCATTTGAGAATATAAATATAAAAAGCATCATTGTATCAAATTTTAGATAATGTATAATGGATTATCTTCATTTTTTTTACTGTTAAAAGTTAATAATTCTAAAGTTAGAAGAAAAGTATTTTTGATAAGTAGATGTTGCACTATCTTTTATAATGGTGTTGGTACAATACTCTTATGGCTAGATATTTATGTTTGTGTAAGTCATGTTTTTGGCCTATGTTTTAACGAGTACATTTGTGACATTTTGTTATCCTTGTTCTTGATTGGTGCAATATTTTTCTGTGCACACCTTAATCTTCACTGGTCTCTTTTTCATTCTTAACTGCTCAAATATCTGATAGAATCTTGATTAAGAATGGCAAGATTTTTAAGTTAAAATTTAAATTACAAGTATGCTTAACATATTAAAAAGCATTTTTATATTTCAATGTTAATGGCTAGTTTAATATACATGTATGACATAACTAATTTGTTACGAACTAATTATTATAATTAATCAGCTAATTTGTGAAAATGTTACACCTGTTTCATTTATTAATTTTTTGTAATTAATAAATAGATTTTAAACTATGAAACACTGGCCAAACTGGTCATATATTGTAAACACGGGAATGTTGTACAAAATTTGATAATTAAATTGTAAATAGAGTATTTTCATAAATAAGCTTCATTTTGTCAGGTGCGAAACCTTTGAGCAGTGCTATAGTTCATATTTTATTTTTTGCATCTTCATTATTTTTATTCTTTTATTGATTCTGTTGAATAAAAATTGAAGTGATTTGAACTTAAAGGGACATATTTGGAAGTATTTATGTAATTATGTTTTATCATGCTTTTTAAAGCAGCACAGGTACATTCAGGTATGATGGATCAACAAAAACTTGTTTTTGTGTTGAAACATTTTATCTAATGGTGAAAATAAGTTTTATTTGGAATAATAAATATTTCCACATATGGTTGCCATTATAATTATGTTAGAGTATTTTCCCTGTTATGCTTAACTGTTTGTTGTCCATGAAAGTTTAAGTTGAAGTGAGTTCATCATGGAATGTTATTTCTTCTTAATTCAGTTATTTGAACTGGATGTGGTAGCCATTTCTCACACATGTCCATGACTGCATATCACATTATTATATAATCAGTTTCATTAGCAAATATTAAATTAATCAAACCTCTATTTCAATTAGAAATGTTGTTATACTGTTCATAAAATGTAGAGATTCATTAACAACAGCATTCTTACTTCGATGATGTCCTATATGTACATAGACTGTTGGTATTCATACAATAATTATTCGTCAAGTACAATAATATTTAAAAATGTATATTTTCCACCATAAAATCTGTTAAGACATTTATCATATTAGTTGATATAAAAATAAGTTTAACATAAGAAGAATATGTGATATGTAAGCATAGATATGTGTGTAGTCAATGTTCTGACTGCTGCATCTAGAGTAGATTATACATGTTGTAGTGAGCAACTATCTCACTCTATCTGTCATCACTGTAATGAATGATATGTAGGGTGTGGATGGCTGTAGTAAAAAAATGTAATCCTTCAACGTCTTTCTTCTTCTTTATCCCATATCAATGCAGAACACAGTACCACCTTCACCAGCATAATCTACTGGTATGGCTTTATTGGTAGGTGGAGAAGTTGTTTTGTTAACAATGAATTACTTGAGAGGTGTCTGCTGCTTGCTGTTTAAAAGAGTAAATAATACAGCTTTCTTTAAACAAATTGCCAACCTTGTCAGCTAAATGACAACCAACATTGTTGTAATGTAAATCACAGAGACTGGCCATATTTTAATAAGGGCCAGTTGGTGTTGGACAGTGTACCCAGAGCTATTTCCACCATTTAATGTAAGCACTTTAAGAATTGGGAAAAAGCACAGGATTAATGTATGTAAATAAGGAAAGATATGATATTGTGATTCATACAAAATGTGGAAATAATAATTACAATATGCCTCTGTGTCAATATAAACTACATAATTATGTGTAATCAACATAATTTAATGCTTATCACATCTTAACAAAGTGAGGTTAACCCTATGTGATCAAAAAGCAAAGTAGTAATCCATGTATAACTTGTGCACTTCGATTTCTCCTGCATAAATACATATATGGTGATTCTGACTGGAAAATCTTCAAACAGATACCAGAAGAGCAAGTAAGTTGTAAAGCATTAAAAACTGGTCTTTTCTAGTTTTGCAGTATATCACACAAGCTAAGCTGTTCCTGGAAACAGTTATTAGCAACCAACACAGATGAAGCAAATTTTGTCTATCTTAATTGAAGATCTTTTAAGAGAAAAAAAAGACAATAGCCAAATCCAATATGATAATTGTAGAATTTGTCATAGACATATATCACCTTAACACCAGATTAAAAATTGGTCTTAATAGGGACTGCAATAGTAAATAACTCATGAAACACTTCTAAAGGTATCAAAAAATAGCTGATTTGGTTCACATATATCTTTGATTCTGATTAATACACACTGGAATGTTTGAAAATATTTTCTGTTTGTGATCAGGCAAGTAAAGTAACAAAATTAAAATCTGTCATTTTAATAGCAATATAAAAATACATACTGTAAACATTAATATATGACTAGAAGTTTATGTTATACAAATAGGCCTTCTGCCTTCTCTAGGTGGAAAAGAAAAATTCACCATCAGAAAATTTTGCTATTTGTTCTCTTTCTTATCTTAATCACTTTTGTAACAACACACTATAAAAAATACTTTGAACATAACTTAAACATATTTTTAGTTTTCTGTACGAGGTAAATTTGTTATCTAATGTTCCCTCTGCTGCAGCATTTGCTTATTCAAAAAATCTGAAAAATGCCAGCCTATATACATAAGTAACAGCCCAGAACCAAGTCCAAATATAACCTTAATCCTTTCAGGCAGTGTGGGCAATAATTTTTTAGATGAACCCCAAAGAAGGACAGATCCAAAGTTAAATAATGCTGATACAAATACACTATATGTTATCTTCCAATGTGTACTTGCTTTCTGAAGAAACCTCTGTCTGTACAAGTAAACACCAAAGCCAATATGAGCATTAAACCAAAGAATATCTGCAGTAACAAAAGTTTTGTCTCCAAAGAACCTGAAAAAGAGAAGCAAAAAATGTAAATAAGGGATGCTTGTTAGCATAATACATGTTCTAGGTTTAAATTAAACTTTAAGAAATGTACTTTAACATGAACAAGAATTTTATTCATGGCAAATCTTGGCTGCTGGAAAAGAATGTCTCCAATATAGCACATGCTCAGGGAACGTCGTAAATTGGTTACGAATGTTTTAAGTACGAACGACAATATTATCTCCCTTGTTAATTGCCAATTAGTAACAGGAAGGTTGGTTATTAAACGATACTACTCACTCCTGGAATCTTTTTGGATTCATTATATTTACTGCAAAGCATTCATAGCTAACACAACCAGTGACAGGCAGAATAACATCTATGAATTTGCTCTGAAGTGTGCTTTTCTTAGAATGTTTCGTCTGCACTTCCCTGCTCTCCATGTTTGACGAACGTCATTCGGTTTAGTACGGATTTTATCGACACACTTAAAGAAGAATTATGTCAGCAATCAAAAATTTGGATCAATTACTGTAGTTTTTATCTTTATACTTTAAATGAAATAAACACTTTTTCTCAGGGATATAATCATGCCGCGTAAACGTCGTCAAGATTCGTCGGAAGTGAGCTGTTTGATGAAATATTTGATGTTTGGATTCAATGTTTTGTTTTGGGTGAGTAAAAATAGAACAGCTGATCAATTTCTTTGTTGTTGAAGTGATAAAACAGAGTAAATGAACTATGCAGTAGAATCATTATTTAGATTCTCATGAATCTGAAACGTCAATTTAATAACAGAAATGAATATGTACAGTATGGTCTATTTATGAATAAAATGAAATTTAAAGAAAACAATCTGACTACACATTTAAGGGTCTACTCTAATAATCGTTTTTTTTTTGTTCAGAGTTATCTATACTTCAAGATTAATCCAACTAATTAGACATGTCAAAGAATCATTGAAATTGTGTTGGACAAGGGATGTTTTTGTTTTATGGTTTGACAGCAGTCAAAATATATTGATGTACCAAAGCTAGATTCTGAGATATTTTGTTCTGGGTCAGAATCTCGAGATATTATCCAGACACGAAATAGCACAATATCTCGTCACGCAGTACAATAAGTTGGACTAGGTTTGACAGTAGGAAAAAAACAGTAAATTGAGTCAAACTGTTCATGCCATGGCAAAAATAATGCCTCCAGACCAGGAAGGAGAAGGACACTGCCTACTTGTAACTTAAGCTAATATGAAACTTCACTGGACAGTTTAAGTATTTACTAGACCTGGTATTAGTACTATTACATTTAAAACCATAAATGCCAATAGGAAGTTGTGGTAGCCAAAACTTAAACATGTATAAATACATGCACTGCTGCTTTAGATATTTTACTGTGGATTATTACTCAACATGTCAATATATTACAATACATTGCATCTAAACTTTTGGATAATTAGATACTAGAGGATTTGTATCATCAAAATCTGGTAGTGATAGTAAAACATATTTTAACATTTTGAGCTAGATTCATAGGCAATTTTTTTCTTGTCTAGAATCTTGCTTTGTAAAGGGAGATATTGCAGCATGCTCTTACATGAAATATCTCAACTATAAAACCTTGACTGGACAATCAGATTGTAAAGTGTTTGCTAAATGGCTGTTAATTGGAAACATTTTGGAACCAGGACAAACTTTTTGCATTAATTAGGCAGTTTTGGGACAAACATGAGGTCCCTGACATTGCCCCAGAGATAGGGACACAGTGTTTATATTAACTGCTGCATTATTTTGTCTTTATGATTTGCCTCAGAGTAATAATTTATGACATCTTTTGCAGATTCTGTTAGTTTTTTCTCAGCATTCACAAAATAACACATCTTGCCTGTAGTACACAATAATTGGATGCAAAGATTAGTGAAAAATATAATATATACATTTAAAACATTGAAATTATTTAGATAAAACTTTTCCGAATTAAAACAGTTATGCATAAAGTTGCTGTATATTGTAAAATACTTGGAACAAAATAATTTAATGTGAGCAATCAAAAGAAAAGAAAAGTCCTAATTTGAGTAAAATACTGTTAAAATTCCCAATTCCTTGGACCCAAGGCTTTCAGTCATATTCCAGAAATTTAAAGTTTAAAAAACCTTAATATAAATTATTTTTTATCATATTGGACTACATGTATATGATATACATATATACTAATAAAGCAAATTGTTATTGCGGATAACCCAGAAAAAATTGTTTTAGATCTGTTATGATTATTAACAACATATTTTAAGGACTTCTAAATCTCTGTTACATTAATTATGCCCATCCAAGAGTAAATGGTGAGTGTTTAGGCAAAATTGAAATAACTTGACATTTGTTAATAATAAACGACACCTGAGTAATCAATAACCCCATTGACTTACATAAATCTCTAGATAATCATATAAATGGTAATGACTAATGTTCAATTTATAAAAAATAAGCCGGGCAATCTTTTTATATTTTAGCCAGTTTTATATTATATCCTTAACATTTGTGAATATCTAATATCAATTATTGTTCAATCACCATTAAAATTGTCAGTGTCTTGAAATGTACATCTAATTTATCTTAGTTTGACCATGAAAAAATGAGCATAATGTCTATGATTTTTAAACAGAATTTTTAATTGAGAATAAAAAAATAAACATTAAAATAAAATACAAATATTGTTTGACATAATTGAATTTTAATTCTTGATTTATTTACATTTTATTTAACTGAAATATCAGTAATAATTAAAAAAAATAATTATGACTTCATAATACTTGGAATCTTAACACCCAGACGTTTTAAAGATATTTGAAAACTAGCTTGTAATTTGCATTAGGTTTGATGTTTTCCTTGACAACAGAATAATTTCGGTCATTTATCAGCGAGTTTATTTTGTAATGTGTTAATTTTATGACTCATTCAAAGCATTTATTTTATGACTGCATAGGTTATTTGCATTGCATTTCATGAAATTATATGAAATATCTGTTATCCTTATTTATGAATTAAGCAGAACAACCCTGAAATCCTGTCAGGATAATATACTTAATATATTTAAAATGCTCTTTTGTCATTAAAATATGTATATAATTCTTGTTAAGTAACATGTGCAAGTTTTTATACAGTTAACAAATTGGTGATCATTAAACTTAACAAAGAATGTAATTTATATATAGAAAACATTTTTGGCTGATGTTAAATGTAAATCCCAACTTTGATTGAATTTATGATTCTCTCATCTTGAAAAAAAACAAACAACAGTAGTGGATCTAAATTTACATCCATCTGTAAATGTATATGTACTTCAATATTTTATAGCTACTTGTTCAGAAGTCTTATTCACTGTATTTAATGTTAAACAATGAACAAAAGAAAAGAAGAAATTACATAACAATAACTATTTCAGCAATCCAAATTGAAAACTTTAAGCCAATTGTTTGCAATAAACATTTTATTGGATAAGATGTAGTTTGTTTTCACTTAAGTATGGAAGCATTGATGATCCTGATGCCAGATGTTAAAATACTTATTAGATAAGCCTAATAAGGAGTGTTTATGATACTCTGTCCTGAGTAGAACTTTGAAACTAATTACAAGGACTGAAGTTACACCTAATTTCATGTATGACACAGTAACTTCTGAATAGGACAGAAAAGAAGTGATACGAAAGTCTACTCTTTTTAAATATCTTATAAGAATAAGGTCTTTATAAGCACCATTGACTTAATGAGGACCTAGTTATTCGTTACCTTGACTACATATAAACTCCTAATTAGAAGTTTATAAGTGTTATTAGGACTTTTATTAGGACTTAGTAACTCCTTATTACAGCCTGACAAGGACTTAATAAACAAGGACTCTTCCTAATTCTTACTTTATAAACTCTTTACTTATAATTATAAATGTCCAATTATGACTTCTAACGACTTAGTAAGCCCTAAAAAGGACCTAAAAAATCATAATAAGGACTTAAAATTTCCTTATAGGGAGAACCAAATAATTAGTTTTTAGTCCTCCTTAGGCTTTTAAAACTCACAATAAGGAGCTTTATAAGATCACTATTTAGGCTTTATCATAAGCTCTGATTAAGACTGGTAATAAAGAAGGACTTTATTAGCAATCAGTAACTCCTAAGTACAGACTTTGATACTTATAAATAGGACTCAGTTAATCATAATTAGGACCAACAAAAATCTTCAATAGAAGTTTATAAACTCAAATATGGACAAGTTAAATCTTATGAAGACTAAGAAACTCCTAATAACACCAAGTCCAATCGTTCACTATGTTTCCCAGGCGGAGAACGCATGAAGAGATCAATTTTACAGGTGGAAAACCGATACTGTGGTAAGAAAGTTGTCTTCAATTTCTTTGTAAATGCATATTTCACAAAACTTTATAGCCTATTCTGATCTCGTATGATTACTTTATCCGACAGGCATCTCAAACTCGCCAAATCTTTGTTAACTTATTAGATCATTATCGACAACTGCACAAGAAAAGTCACAAAATTGGTAAAATCGTTATTTGATAGCCAATAACTTGACATCCAAGCAAACTTCTAAACATTTGTATCGCTCTAAAGGTTATTTATTAACATATCCTCATCCACCAAACGCCTGTTCTATTTCTATTCCGTATTTTTGGAGTATAATATCGTTTAAGCGAATTTTCAAAATGAACGCATGAGCCGAACTTTCCATGTGGTTTTATCAGATTGCAAAGTGAACGCATGAGCAGGCGGATTTTTTGGTTACTCCAGTTTTCATGGATATCTCACATGTTATCGATCACTGAACCTTAAAATTCCAAAATTTTCGTTCCGAATGTTTGAGCAAACAGAATTCCTATTTTCATACCTTATGACGAATTCAATTGCTTATAAGCAATAGATGAAGGTCTGTTCGGTTCTGTGAAAATATAATAAATCCTCATTGCTAAAACTTTGAGTAAAATATTTGCAAAATACAACATCATTGGTTGATGGTATGTTATAATTAAAGATGTAACATACACTTAAAGATCCTGTGACTCAAAATTTTATGTTCTTATATGAAAAATCTTTGGCTTAAATAAAGAATTAACAATGTTAAAAGTTACAGAAAACCTTTTTGATAAGGATATTGCCAAAATTTAAAATTTCCGATAATAAAAGGAGATAATTAGAAATCTGTTTTTTGGTAAAAAAATCAGTTTTGCATTCAAATAAAAATTTCAAAACAGTTTTCCTCAAGAAATATCATATAATGTGTTTAATAATGTCAACTTCTTAAGTATATGTTTTTCATAAGAACTGACTTTATATACAACTTTCGCAAGGATGTTATACCCTTAACATTTTCCCTTATATAAGCGTATTTCGAGTCTTCGACGGCTTTTTGCCCCCTCCCCCTACACTTTTTGAGGCATCAAAAAATGTCCTATTTAGGCCCCAAACACTGGTGTTCGTTTGAGAAATGTTGTTAAAAAAGTGACCACTTTTTCGGCGCCGTCCTCCATCCAAATGTTACATCAGGGGGTTGTCTGAGGGGGTTTGAAGGGGGCGGAGTCCCCCTCATCGCCAAGAAAATTTTGGACATGTGACAGGCTAAAAATGGCCTGAGGTCGATCTTAGGGTAACTAGTAACAGACACTGAAAAGCCTTT